AAAGTGTGAAAAATGTGTGAAAAATGTGTGAAAAAAGTGTGAAAAAAGTGTGAAAAATTTGCCACCCACCGCCCCCCACCACCCGCCCCCGCCCCCCGCCCCCAGCCCCCCCCCCCCCCCCCCCTCTTCCCCCCCCCTCTTCCCCGCCCCTCCCCCCCCGCCCCCCCTCCCCCCGCCAAGCATCTATCCCGCGCATCACATTCCTTGATTGTTAAGATTATTGAAAATCTCAGACATACGTCGAAGTTTAATTTAAGATTTAAAAGCCAACAGAAAACTCTATGAGTTCGGGCCGAATTTGATCTTCAGATAGATGATCAATATATTCGATGCCCGGGACAGAGAGAATCCTTCTGCAATTGTGCTTGAACGCCATCTGGAACCCCCCAGCGGCCGTAGCAGCATCCCCGTTTAACTAAAATTAAACTAAAGTAAATTTAAAGACTTAATTAAAACTAAACTTAAACCTAAACGTTAAGCCTGCAAGTCCGAGAGAGAAGTGAGCAGAAAAGAATAAACATTGGCCAGCTTCCCACGTCGAACCCGCCAGCCAGACATGTGTATAACGGCCTAGGCTAAGATTCGATAGAGTGTAGCTTGCTGAAAGTGTCAAAATCTTCAGTCTAATCAAGTAGCTACGTCACTAGTCACTCACTAGTCTAGTAGCCAACCACACGCGGGGTCCTTCACTTGAGCTGCGGCTGGCATAGATTTGTCACATTTCCTTCACACTTTTTTTCACAGATTTTCACAGATTTTTCACAGATTTTTCACAAATTTTTCACAGATTTTTCACAGATGCCAACGGTCCAGGAACAGCAGAATCACATTTTTTACACTTTTTTCACAGATTCCAAACCCCACATCGCCACAGCTACAGATTATTCACACATACCGATGACAAAAAAAAACACACTTTAATCACAAAAATAATTCCTGACATCGCCCCCAGTGATTACCACAATTCCAGGTTAACTACTCTCTGTCTCTGTCCCCTGTCCCAGACCGTGCCAGTAAGAATGCCGACTCCCAGCGACCAACTTTTGGGTGTGGGGCGGTTCGCAAGACCTCTGAGAAAGGCCAAGAACAACGACAGTCAACCCCCGAATCTTGGTCCCAAAGCGCCAGGATTATCCACGTTGGCCGAACTATCCCTGGGACTTCAAGAAGCACCTGCCAAGATGCTGCCGACACATGGGCCAGCACAATTCAACAGCAACAGATTGTTAAATGACAGTGAAGTCTGGGTATTGTATGGGGCGCACACCCGGATACAGAAAGGATACTTGCTTTGTATTGACACGCCTGGTTTTCGACGAGCTTAAGCCTAAATCTGCCCCCTACCCTGCCATAGAAACTGCCGGGTGCACAGGAGGACTTTCAGAGCTGCGCCGGCCACATCTCTTCCGAGGTGACCTGTTGGCTTTGGGGGTTCACGCGAGGGGGGATTCTCAACTTAGGGTTCGGGTATGGGGTGTGGTTCAAGGCTCTCCACAGAGCAAGTACAAACCCCTGCCCCCAAAAACTGAGCTAAAGTTGGGCGCAGGTGTTTCTGCGAACGCTGGCGACCCCTTTGTGTTGTCCAAACGTTGGCGACCTGCCCTGGCGTTGACATGAAAAATACAGGATTTCTGGACAGGCTCTAATGACTATAAAGAACAAGCATGAACCTGTTTCTCAGCTAAGAATACATCGCTTTGCGGCATTTCTGGCTGTTGACAGAGCTTGATCGAAGCCCTAGATGCTGCAAAATACATCGTTCTACGCTGCTCGTTGGTCTTCCCCTCGTTCCAGACCCCCCAGCCGAGGACCAATTGGACTGGATGGAGGGTTCAGAGGACCAGGGACCACCCTTCGCAGGGCCACCTGCTTATAGCAACACAAATGCACGCGGGATGAGCCAGTCCAGAAAAGGACATCATTGCCTTAGATATTCCTTGTTCAAAACTAACTAGGCTTTCGGCCTCATACCGTACCTGAACGACTGCAAAATTGCCCCTGAAGTAAGCCACTGAAATGACAAGGCAGGAGGATGCCAGGAACAATGTCACACCAAGCAAGAAGCAGCAGATCTCAAGCTAAAGTGGGGCTGTGGCCAGTGGCCAACATGGTGAACAGCAACTCAAGGCATGCACTTGCAAAGATACCACTCGCCATCGTAACCTCTGCATTATCCCAACATCTCGGACCGCGGCACAGCGAATTATCCGCTTTCCTCACGCCCTCCTGGACAAACTCACAAGGAAGTTGGCGGCTTGTTAGTTTACCGGTTTTGGGCTTCAAGGCTCCACAAGCAGTGTCTAGTCCTTCGTGGCACCACGACTACTAGGCATTTGAAAGAGACTTCCAAAGAGGTCTTCCGAAAGCAGGCGCGACAGAAAGGTGTAGCCGCCCGGGCAACCAACCTCCTGGTAGGGCAAACTTGTTTACCAACATGTGCTCCGAAGAAAGCACTCATTGAAATTCATTGACTCCCTAAACTCCGGCCTGAGAAACAAAACCCTTTAAGCGTCACAGCCTTGAGACAGTGTGTGAGAGCGCTCAGCACGCCCACCTAGAACACTGCTCAAGCGGCGCTTAGGCTTCGCAACGGATTCTTGCTTCTTTCTGTTTTGCTGGGCGGTGTTGGTTGGCTGAGTGGATTCTGTAGCCTCGAGAAAGCCTCCAAAAGCAGACTTGGATGTCCGATTTTTTGAGCAGTGGGTTGAAGTTGCAGACTGGGAAGCCTTTTCTGTTTGGAGCTTATGGGACGTTGGCATTGGTGATCACACGTGGGATTGCATGCACACCTTGGACTGCATGAAGAGGCTTGCCTCCAGCAGTGTCTACAATCATGAAGGTCATGATATGAAGAGTACTACGAGCCAAAACTGAATCTGTGAGGACACTGGCAATGACACCCTTTGAACCTTTGAGCCATTTTGAGCCATGCCCTGCCTTTGTGAATGTTTCCACTTTGGAAACATTCCCAGCGCTGCCGGCAGTGCTCAATTCGTTGAGCACGACCTGCACATGACTGAGGATCGGATGCGTTTTGATGGATTGGAAGGAATTGCTTGGAGTACTTTGCTGACACCGTGCCCGTGTTGTAATTGCTGTGGACTTCAACCCGGAGGTTCAACAACGGATGTTCCAACGAGGGTGACCCGGCCCTTTGCCCGAATCGAACAAATCCGAGCCGTGCTACGGGACGTCGCCGGTTCGCAGGTGCTGGAGGTAAGGAGGAGCTGTCGGGAGCCATCCGCGAGCAGCCAGCTCTCTGATTGAAACACCTCAACACACCCTACTTGTAACTCCCACCCCTATCCTGTCCTTTCCATAAATCCCACATGATCGCAGCTGCCCCCAAAATCTCAAGGGCTCCAGTCTAAACCCACTTGTCGAAGGCTGAGCTGCCCAAACCAGGAACTTCGAACCTCAAAGGCTTCTAAGCCCCTGAAAAAAAGGGAACCGGCGGATCGCAAAGTTAAACCGAAAGCCACAAACCCTCCGAGCCTTCAGAAGCGCCAACTTGGCTTGCAAGCATTCTTCCTGATTCGGTTTGAGGATGAGTATGTCATTATAGTAATGCTTTCTTATACTATTTGATTAGTATATTGTTCTGTTCTTATATTCTTAAATTCATATATCATGATGTTAGGAAGCTCAGGAAGTCGGTTTTGAGGGTTCTGGGGCCACACCCATTCTGAGCCCTCGAATGCCCTGCTGAATTGCTGAATTCTCGGCTTCAACAAGATCGGAGTCATCCCAGCCTTGTTGCTGTTGAGCCAAACCAGCACCTTCCAGAATGAGGTCTTCGCTGTTTGGGTGTTCTGCGGCTTTCTAGGGCTTCATGGTTTCGGGCGGGGAGGCTTTGGGGTGTAGAGTCGCAGGGTTGAATGAAGAAGGGTTTGGGGCGCCAAGTTCACGGTCGGTGGTGCAGTCTCCTGCACCACCAACCGGGAATAGAGCCAGAGCTGCTAAAGGGGATTTCCATGAGGTACTCTGCAGCACTACCTACAAGCTTGCAATCACAAGCATGAGCGTGAGTCTTGGCACTTAACGAAAATACCTGCCGAAAGCGTGGCAACAAGCCCAGTGTTGAAACAATATATGAGTATATGAGTATATGATAATATAACTATATGATTGTATGATGATATGATTCTAACATATTAGTATATGGTTGGATCACGTATATCGCCATGTTCTTATATACGCTACTCCGCTCGGTGAATGTGTCACGCTTGCGGAAGCGGAACATGCCCGGAGTAGTGGAAGTAGCAGGCAAGGTGTTTACCTGCGTTCCCTCACGGAATCGGGTTTAGGGTTTAGGGTTTAGGTTTAGGGTTCAGGGTTCAGGGTTCAGGGTTTAGGGTTTAGGGTTTAGGGTTTAGGGAAACCCTAAACCCTGAAACCCAAAACCCCAAAACACCAAGCTTCGAGCCAAAAACCCCGACACTCTGAACACAACACCCTTATCCCAACCAGGCGAGGGGGGCAACCCTAAACCCCTTAGACTTTAAAGCCCCAAAAGTCACAAAAGACGACAACCCTTGTACCTCCTTTGAAACTTGTCATAGCCCTAACACCCCAAAACCCTAAGCCCAACTACCCAGTAGCAGAAAATACTACCCGGAGTGTACCAGCAGTTAGCTGTCTATGGGTCGAGCTGGCTTGGTTGCAACAGTATTGTCGTTGTTGAAAACCTGGGCCTTAGAACCTATCATTCAACCGGGGATATACATGTGTATGCATGTACTACATATGTATGTATACCGACGTTGTTCCACCCTTGTCCGTTTTTGGGTTGGGTACTTCATGAGGGAACCTTGCACCACAAAAAGGGCAAAAGGGTATGACTGGGCTACCAAGGGGTCACCATGGCAGCGATGATTTTTCCAATGCCTTTACAAGAGATCTGAGATCGTCGTGACACGATCGGCTCACTTGACTTTGTATGAGCCACTGCTCTGTGAACTGTGAATAACAGAGCCATCAGGCCGAAAAGCCTAGATCCATCAGTCAGAGCTGGAGGAGGAGTCGGACTCCTCCCAAACGGGAAGTTTGTGCTCCTTGCCTTTATCCAGCGCCTTGTGGGTTTTCTTCTCGGTTTTCTCCGCGGCCTGCTGGCTTCAGCATGGAAAGAGGCCGGAGTAAGAAAGAAAGAGAACCGAAGTACCAGTTTGGGGCATTCTTGTCGAGCCTACGAATTACCTGTACTTGTCATGTTTGCATTAGCAGGACTTCACGTCATTACCTTGCAAGTCGTGTTGCCGCCTTAGCTTGGCCTGCCTCCACTTCCAGGAGAAGCCCACATGCAGCAGAGAGAGGCAAAGAGAGACTCACCTTTCAAAAACGCTCAACATCCCAATGCCACTGGCCTTGACAATGTGCTCCAAGCCGGTCGGATGGGCTTTGCACTTGTCAGCAAGAAGATCGATGATTTCCTGGCTGCTGTCTCCAAGAACTGCCCCAGCGACACAACTGTTGAAATGTCAAGGCGTTATCTTGGCCTACAACCCAAAGGTGACGGCGGGTGGGTACAATGATGCACACACATACGAAGCTCGTTTTTTATTCAGACGAGGCAAAGAGAAGTAAACGTCAGCCCTGCAGCCAAGCAAAAAGCAACGCTGTTGCTGCTCAGCGTCTCCAGCGGCACCCTGCTGGCCGCGGCGCTCTGCTTTGCAAGCCTGGCATGCTTACTGTGGGGCTAGGGGTCTAAGGATGGGGGGTCTACTGCTGGTGTTCAAAAGAGGTCCTTCTGAGTCAGTGGCCCGTCATCACGACTTTTACAGCGCGAAGACTCAACTGCAATAAATCAGTTTTCTCTGAGAACCTTACCTTCGGGTTTTGGCTACGTATGTTTGCCCTTTTTCTGCCGTGATTCGGGTTGGCCTTCGCAGCTACGCTTGAAGGCTTCAGGGCGCAGGGGGTTTTCGGGCCTTTAGCGACTCGGGAATTGGAGTTTGGGGGCTTGGGCATTGGCAAGCCCCGACGCGCATCGAGAACCTTGTCGGCCCACGCCTCACCTATGGCCAGCTTCCACATTCTAAGCCCGCAAGGTACACAAATCATTGCTGGGAGTCCTACAGTAATCACAAACCAGTCGAAATTTTTTCCAGAACACCATGCAAGTAACACCCCTAAAAAGCCCTAAGCCGTGCTACCGCCGGGGCCCCAAACCCTAAAAGTTCAACTCCGAAAACTCCCAAAGCTGCCTCCTCGATCGCGACGCCGTAGCGGCCTGCGAGGTACTTCTTCCTGGGCACGTGTCGGTGGTTCAATGTTTGCAGTTGGGAGATTGGGAGATTCTGTGTTTGGAGGTCGAGGTTTTGGGTAAAAGGTTTAACATTAGGGTTTGGGGTTCAAGGTTTGGGAGGAGTCTCGGGTAAAATGCAGAGGCTGGAGATCCATCTTGAGCCAACGCCTGCAAACAGTTGAAAGTTGAAAGACTGATATGTGCAGCAAGTCTGGTGATAAGCAAAGTAAGAACACGATGTACTCTGCGCTGATCCATCTGGTCCATGAACTCCGTAGCTCCAGCTGGACCATGTACGCCATGGAAATGGGAGCTTGTGGGTTCGGCAACTACCTCCAACGATCTACCCTAAACTTTCAAGAAAGAGCACCTTAAGAAGGGCGACTGCTTGGTCCAAGGTTCTTCTTCTTGTCCTTGACTTCCACAAAGGCGCCATGCTCATTTTCAGGCACTGTCAGAAAATCATGCCACGTCCCAAAGAAGCCTGCTTCATCGCACCGGCTCTGTAGAAATGACTGCTGCATGGCGGCGCAGGATGGGGGAAGCTGGGGCGACTTGAGCACTGTTTCGGAGCATGCAGGAGTTGACCATGCATTCGCAATGCATGATGGGGGATGTTGACAACAACGACTGGGCAGCCCAAGTTGCTGCTCTTTCATGCTTTTCTCCGGTGAAGCTGTGCAGATCAGGCTAGCCGAATGCTTTTTTTCTTTGCACACATGCATTACAGAAGCACTCTGACACCTGCCACCGTTCAAAGACTCTACAATTCCTTTAAACTACAGCATAATTCCCAGAATCAACACATTGTTCTTATGCTTCGAATGCTAAGGCTAATGATCTGGACAGCGCCTGGAGAGTGTACAGCGTCTTCTTCCAGGGAGCCACAGCCTCTAGACCTTGTAGGCTTGAGTCCATGGTTGACTTAAATGAGACGACAGCCCTGTCGCTCGTTGGACTCGGTTGGGGTGGGAGTCGCCAAATGACTCGGGGAACAAACGTGAGCCCGGAAAACGCGGAGGCGTGAATAGTGAATTTGGAAAAACCTGCTGTCGAGCGGGGAAAGAACGAAAGTGCGAGTCAGGAAAAGCAGGAAATAGGAGAAAGGCAGGCGCGAGTCCTGAGGAAAATTGGGCCCACGCAAACACGTCCCCGGCCCCATGCCCTAAACCCCCAGGCCGTCCAACCTTACAGACCAAGACCCCGAAACTCAGTCCAACGCGTAAACCCTAAAAACCCTGACAGCAGAACCCTCATGCTCTAAGTCCGAAAATCATCAAACCCCAAAGCCCACAGCATAAAACCATCACCCCTAAACCAAAAGCCTCAAACCCTAAAGTCTGAGACCATGGAGCCCTAAACTCAAATTTCCCTGACTCGTGGCCCGTGCCTATGAGTCATCTGACTGACTCGTGCCTGTCTTCTTCATGAATACGGTAGGTCAGAGCCCACCCTCAGCTTGAAGCCCCCAAGCCATTCCTCCACAGGAGACCACCCTGAAGCCAAAACCCTAACGAAACCCCGAACTTCGAAATATGGCGCGGAGGAGACTCTGCGTTCCAAACCACCCAAACGTATACTAGTCTGGATGAAAGCCATGGAGTCCGAGCCATCGGCTGATCTCATCGACCTGAAAGGTTGGGATTTGGGGGGTTCCTTGGCATTCTGTGGCTCTAGAATCCCTAAACCCTAAACCCCAAGGGGCTCGGGGCTCGGGGCTTGGGTAAATACTTTTTGGTGCCCCAAGGATTTCAGTCACTTTCGCTGGTAGAAACCTTGACCTAAACAACTCGCTGAGGGGTGGCCTCGGGTCGGCACCTCGACAGAAGGTTTGTTTCAGGCCCTCGTCTCTTTTTTCCACCTGTCTTGTCAAGTTCAGGGAAAGCGGAATTCTGAAGGCATTAAAGGTTTGAAGGGATTCCGCAAGCGACTGGAATCCGTTTCTGAATCCCTTCCAAAACCATTTTCAAAACCCTTTGTAAGGTACTTCTACTCTTTGCTTAGTGCCCTCTTATCCTTTCTGAATCCCCTCTCATCCTGTCTTGTTTCCTTCTTCATCGATCCCAACCCTTCTTTTGGGTTGCTTTAACTGCCTGTCGTCCTTTGTTGACCCCCAACATGCCGAATGCAGGGCTGGAGGCCGAAATTCACTCCTGAGGCCAACACACTGCTGCTTTCCTGCGGCGCACCAAAAGAGAAAAACGCTGAAGAGAGAAATCTCCAAATTTGGGGCACGTTCTCCGAGGCTGACGGCTTGGGGTCGGACAAGTTGCTTACAAAAACATCATGCCCAAGTCCTCTTGAACCCGAAGTCTTGCCACTGCCTGCCAACCAAGCCCCTAAACATATGATCAGTCCTCACTGCTGGAAGAGCTCGAATCGGACTCGTTGCTCGCGTCAACATCCACAGCACTTGCCTTAAGCAGCTTTCCAGATGTGAGGTTCTTGCAGCTTCTCACGGTGTTTGGAGGTCATGGTGAGAAGCGAGTACACAAGCCCCTTTTTGCACGAACACTGTTGATAGGTTCATTATAAGAAAGGCTTGCTTGTACTTTTCTAAGCTTGAATTGAAAACATGCAGAATTGCGGCTGGAATAATTGGTAGTGCAGGCAAGCAACTCCGCTCGAATCCGGAAGAACCTCGATAAGGAAGCCAGTCGATGGCCACAACAAGCCGTACAAACTCACAGCACCATGTCACTCATGCTCACGGTACAGAGGCAGACGGAGGCAGGGCCGTCGATTTGAGGCGCCCCATGTGTCAGGCTCGCTACGTTTAATTTTGTTTGAGACCCGGGAGGGAACTTAGTCAGATAAAGCTAGAGGTGGAGAAGGCTTCATCTCTAAGTGTCCCCATCCCTGCAGTCCAAGATGCGACAGAAGTCTGAGAACTCTCTGCTGCAGGCTTTCGGGGCTTGGCTTTTGCGCGGATATCCTGCGCGAAACGCTGGGTAATTATGGGAGGTCAGGGTGGCTTGGGTTTGGTGTTCCAAGCTTCGACCGTGGATCTTGACAAAACCTACGAAATTCTTCAAGACACCTCCATCACAATATATGCACCCTTGCGACACTGCCTTTAGCAGAATTACCCTCCCTTGAAAACAGAGCAGCTCGAGACTTGGCGTGTGTTTCACGACTTCCAAGGGGTTCCACTCGTGACGCTTCACAGCAGCGTTGTGATCTTGCTAGCCCCAAGGCTGCAAATTCAGAGTTCTGGCATGGATTCTTAGGCATCTCCGAGTCGGGTATGAAAACTCTTCGGGCTTCGGGGCTGCGGGCGGTTGGGAGCTTGACTTCCGTTGCGACTCCTTTCAGCATGGTCAATTTCGGTCGAATCGTGGTCAAAACCGATCTGGTTTCGCACGTCGTAGGGGAGAGTCAAGTTTCGTTTTGTGGGTGGTGCACCTTGCCTTTTGTCTTTCTTAAAGCCGGCCATGAACACCTAAAGCTTTTGGCGGCCTGACTTACCTTCCCAAGCCCGGTGGACAGAAACCGGCCGTGGCATTCTGAAGCAACGTTAATCGCCCGGCTCCAAACGCTGTTAGGACATTCTCCCTGAGAAATACTCTGCTTCCCAATATTGTGCGACTGCCTCCACAAGAACCAAAAAGAGCAATCATGCCTGGAGACATACATGGGCATTTCCCAATACCCCTTTTGCACCCCAAATAGAATAGAACCCCCTTAAAGGGACCCCGCAACAGGGCACCCCTAATATCAGAAACCCCCACATAAGGAGAACGTGATGAACCTTTGAAGGCTGAAAGGCCATCTATGTACCCCCTACAATGACAATGGTAGAAAAAAAGAGAGTCTGAGATCCTGCTCCAGTGCTCCGATCCTTCTAGAGGGCCTAAGCAGGTGTAAAGGCCTTACAGACATGTGCAACTTTGGTGCGCCTCTTGCACTTGGCTGGTCTGAGCTCATGAACAGCAAGAATTACAACAATAACAGCAACGGCAGCACCAAAGCTGAACACTGGAGGAAGCCTCGAAGTCATGGGTTTAGACGCAGTGACTTCTTTGAAGCAGCACAGGCTTTAATCGGTCCGGCCTCAAGTATGTCTAGACCTTACATGTCCTGAGGAGTCCCAAAAATGGTGATCCAGGACCGCTACTGAATGCCTGCCAGAACCTACTGCAGCAGCACTTGTGGCTGCAGTGAGAGCTGACCGGAGGATCTGTACAAAAGCTCCCGAAAAGTTGGTCCAGGGGCGCTTCACGGGAGCCTTGCCTCTGCAGCGTATTTCTTTACATTTCACCCAAGGCCTAGTTTAAGCAGAGTCGCAGACACCCCTCAAGGGCTCAGTCCATGCATTCCAGCTGCAAATGCTTTGAGCACAGCTGCACGACCTTGGATTTGCATGAGGGACCCAGAAAAACCATGAAAAATCAGCAGCCAATGACGTCACGGTGCATGTCGTGTTTCTGCTCCCTTAAAGCAAGCCACTTGAAGGTTCGGAATGGCAGCTGGAAGGACGAAATCGACAATCGCCACTTTGCTTGTCTTCAGGTGCTGGTGCCAGGCAAGAAAGTTCTTGGTCACACCTGGATTGCTCTTCAAAGCGTATTCCTGTTCTTCCCCTGGGAAAACCCACCTGTACTCGCCCATGGCCTCACCAACCTCACCATTGAGAGCATTCAGCAACTTTGCCAAGGAATCAGCCAAGGCTTCATGCCATTGCTGCCAGCGTCTGTAGCACGGAAGCAAAGCAGGACGGAAAAGCTGACTAAATGCCACTGCACACAACCACGCTGCCGATGGAAAGGGCCGCCTGCTTGTCAAAAACTCAGGAGCCCAATAGATCCAATAGAGCGTATTAGCGTATGGGGATCCATACAAAAATCTTAGCAGCAAGACACCCGCACAAAAGGAAGAGACCCCGAGCCCCCTGCCAAGCAGTAGGTCGCAACCCACCAGAGACGCCAAGGCTGCCGGGGAAGATCCTCGTTCACCTTGAGAAGGATCTCCTCCAGCTGCCCGTGACTCAACGAAGGGGAGCCTCCTCCCGTGCTCATGAACCTTGGCTCTAGGTTGGAGATCTCGTCAAGTTGTGCCGATTAGACCCTCTCCATGGACTCCGTGCTATGAGAGGTCTCACCCCAAAAACTCGTTCTGGGAAACCTCCTCTGTTAGCACTAAACTCCTTTGCAGTCAAACCAAGAAAAAAGAAAGAGCCAAACGCGCGGTTTCCAGGAAATCCAGGCACTTGTGGAAAGATTCCGAATAATAAAGCCTGGGCAACTCACACCCCCGGCCAGCTTCTGCGCTGGACCTTTGTTGTGCAAGATGCTGGTCGGGTTCATCGGGGTTTGGGTTGATGGTTCAGACTTGGTTGCTTTGGGTATCACAGGGAGTTTTTTCGTTCTGGATGTCATGCCAAAACAATCATGGCTGGGACAACACTCAGTCCCAGCTTCCTGCACAACAGTTGCGAAAGTTTCCTACTTCAATATATGGGTAGACTGCGTATATATATATATATACGTATATACACACAGTAGAAAGGTAAGCCTGCCCTAGCCCCAGCCACAGCATGGCACTGGACCGCTCCAAGTCATGCCCCAACTCCAACATGGTGGGCTGTGGCAGCTCCCTTGCGGCGTTGTTCCCCATGGCCGGAAGCTAACTGGACCTTGGGCCTTGGAGCTGGAGCGGACCGATGCTGGAACATGTGAGGGCTGGCCAGGCCTCCAAAAAGTTCTGGGAAGCATCTCGCTAAAGCCCTCCAACCAAATGCTTGTCGACGCCAAGTGCAAGCAGATCGGAACTGCTGGAAGCAGAACAGCCGAGTAATCAAAGTAGCTATAAGCTTGCTGCGGCTCCAGGCTTACAATTTGCAGCTTATGCGGCTGGCTCTGCAAACTGGAGACGGTGCAAGACCAAAGTCATGTATCCTCATGCGCATACTGATCCATGTCCACGCATGATGCGTGTATATACCAGGTTTTCCCACCACCCTCGGTGGGGGTTGTTAGACTTTGAACTCAGCTATTCTCCCGGTCTAGAGTATCCCCGGAGAGCCCAATGCCGCAATTTCCGGACTGCCCCACCCCGAAGCATCCATGAGCGTCGGCAACACCAGTCTTCCTGACGTGCCCAATCCCAGAGAGTCTTCCTGGCCTGCCCAACCAGTACCCAGTACCCAATAAATACCCAGTAAATTCAGCCCCAGCATCCGGGCCTGCTTGTGCACAGGGTCAGTTGCGGTACCTGCGCAACGGCTGCTACTGCAAAAACTCATCGGCACTGAAAATACAGTGCTGTTCTGTCTCGCATTTCAGTTATAGTATTCGCACGCATGAACATCCGGCAAGCACGCCCGCGTACGAACACGCGAGTGTGCGCACGCGCACACACACACATACACACTCACTCACATTCAGCAGCCGCACACATTGCAGCATCCCGAACACTCGCCCGTCGACAGTTTGTTTGACGGTGCAACTGCATGAAGACGACGACATCCGACGAAACCCCGCCTGAAAACTGAAACCAATGGCAAAATGCAAGAGGAGGTGAAGAAGAGAACGCAAGTTCTTCTTGTGGTGAGAGAAGAGTGGGGAACACAGCACAGACTGAAAATCTCAAAGGCTGGAAGCGGACTGTATGTTACCTATCAGCAGCTACGTTTCTACAGAGATAGGTTGGGGTGAAGGGGGGCGTCTTCGAGGCAGGACAATGCTCCGCAACACCATCCCCTCGGCCCAGCAAAACCTATCCCTGACATGCAGGTACGGCCAGCTTCAGTCATGTCACTGATGTAGTCATTCGTCATTCCACTATTCCATGCATTCAATCACTATTGGGACAGGACTGTGGCTACACTTTCACGCTCTTGCAGTTCTTTGCACAGTGTTGATCAAAAAGGAAGCTCTGGAAAGTGATGATTTCATGGTCATCAGCGGATATTATTTGCCTTGCCCTGAGGCTAACACTGCTTTCTTCTTGGTGTCGAGGGTGGAAGAACTGTGAGATGGAAGTACGAGTGTAGAGCCGCAAGGGAAAGTTCACAGGCTCTGGAATGTAGACCCAGCCGCAGTTCCTTGATGATCCTTCTCCGGCTGCAAGAGTGACGATGTCACAAGCAAACTTGCAAGCCACAGCATCCCAAGCTGATCATGTCCTTGAGCATATTTTGACATGTTTAACAAGCACACACCCACACACCCACACACCCACACACACCCACACACCCACACACACCCACACACCCACACACCCACACACCCACACACCCACACACCCACACACCCACACACCCACCCACCCACCCACCCCCACCCCCACCCCCACCCCCACCCCCCACCCCACCCCCACCCCCACGCCCACGCCCACGCCCACGCCCACGCCCACGCCCACGCCCACGCCCACGCCCACGCCCACGCCCACGCCCACGCCCACGCCCACGCCCACGCCCACGCCCACGCCCACGCCCACGCCCACCCACACACGCGCGCACACACACACACACACACACACACAGACAGAGAGACACAGAGACACAGAGACACAGAGAGACAGAGACCCGCACGCACACGCAAACCCACACACTGACTGACTAGCTGCCTGGCTGGCTGGCTGACTGACTGACTGGGACGCTGCACTTTCCAAACTACGTACACTGCTGAAGCCTGCGCAAGCCACAAGCACTAACAGCGGCATCCCTGTACATTTATGGATTTACATGAGGGGGCACGTTTCTTGCGCTTGAGCCGGGACTGTTGAGATGAAGAGCCTGCGCCGGAATCAGGCACATGTCCTAGCACGGCAGATGCTTGGAGTTCTCGGTGTTAAAACCTTGATGCGGAACCGCACATTGACCATCTGGGAAACAAGCGCCTGAGAACAAGCTTGCCATCTACTACTTGTAGTGCATGGACACTCCCTACACTTTTTGGCTGTCTCCAATCCCATCCATGAGCAAGAAAGGTAGTCATGCCCAAACGCCGAATCCTAAGCCCAATCCCTCAACTTTCAATAAGAACACATAATGTGCGATATATGTGCGATGATAAAATCCTCAGGCGGCGTGCAAACGCTGAAAATTCTTACCGGATCCCTAAATTGCGACTCTGTGAGGTCCTTCCGCGGGAGAGCGCGATAATCTGTCCGCACAGCGAAGGTTGAACTGCTCAAACCTTGAGCTTCCAATGGTCTACGATGCTCTACGGGTTGGGTTTAGGGGCTGTGGCTGCTCAAACTGCATTGGCTTGAAGCAGGTGGGCAGGGAATCGACATTCAGAGCACCACAGCCGCAGCACAACGGCCGCATTTGGGCTGCTAGGTTCGCAGGACCTTTGTCCTTGCTCCGTAGTGACTCATCACAAGCTCCCACATGGAATTTTGACAAAACTCACACTATGCACCAAACCAAAACCAAACCCAAAACTGAAAAATAGATTGGTGTTTTGCGACCAACCACGATGGGACATTCATCCATTTGATTCTCATCGTACCGAAGTGTCAGGCGCTTGGATTCCCCGACTGTCTCCAGCAAGGAGACATGTCGCCTTCGGTCATATCATTGTTTCACGCAACTGTTGTGCACCCCGTTCAGCCTTTCACAGACGGTTTAGGGCATAAAGGTGTAGGGCTTAGAGGCTACACCCTGTCACGCCTGTCGCGCACCCTGTCACGCAGGCCGTTTAGGGTTTAGGGCTTGGAAGGTCTGGGCCTAGAGTTTAGGCAATACCCTGTCACACAGGCGCTTGGGGGTTTGGGGTGTTGCGCTTCCAGGGTGTGGGCTTCAGGGCTTAGCTACACCGCATTACCCACGCGATGTAGGTTGCAGGGTTTGGGGTTGGGGACCACCCCACCCCCCACCCCATCACCCCACCCCACCCCCCCCCCCTTAACCGAACAAGACCCCAACCCAAGCCCCTGACAAATCCCTGAGGCGTCAGCTCTTGCAGCTTCTCCTCCGGAATGGACCCTGTGACCAAGCCATGAGCCGCGTTCTGATGCCTGCGTGAGAAGGATCAGTCTGTGCGTGTGTGTGCGTGCCGGGACTCTGGTTGCAGGATGTAGGGGTGCTACTGCTACTGCTTTAAGGAGGGGGCCTCTTGCTCCCGGGCCCACGAACCGACATCTGTCTCAACACATAATAAACCCATATGCAAAATCCTTACTGGTCAGCCATTTCCTGAGTTCATCTTGAGGCTGATTGCATATCTCTTCCCTAACGCTCGTTCACTTGGTACAAAAGCAAGTGTCTGATGCTTCTCTTGCAATGGGCAGATGCCTTTCTCCTAAATCAAGGGCTAACAACCTCTACCACCCACACACGAGTGTATTTCTCTGATCACCGGAACGGTCGCTTCCCAAGAACATCATACTCAAACTACTCTGACCCTTTAATACAGGCGATCGCGGGCCCAAGAACCCACATAGTCTAGTGCTCATGCCTTCCGAGAGTGAGTTCTGCTTTGATGCGGTAAGCCTCTCACCACGGGGACTGCCGGAAATCTCGACCTGAGTGTAAACCTCACAAACTCCAAACGGAGATCCAAAACTTCGGTCAACCGGAACCTCCAAGTCATGTCTCGGTTTGTCCAAGTACCCCGAGAGCGGCCGGCCTGCTGCATAGGCCGTTCGCCACCACCGGCCTCGTGCCACAGATCTCTCCATACCACCATAACTCTGCCGGCTCAGAATTCAAGACGTGCAAACATACAGGCCCCTGGAGGCCCCTGGCCATCCACACTGGCCACCGCGGCCATCGCTCCACGTCCGAGCCTTGAACCAGCTGTGACTAATTAGCGCTTCGGGGCTTTCACATTAATCGTTGAAAGTTGAAAGTCTTGCGGGTTCGGAGGTTAAGGTTGGCCTGGCACGTGAACTCAAGCTAATTCTGGGCTTCTGGCAAAATTGCACGGCCCTGAAACACACTTCCTAAACATAACCTTCCCCCCCCCCCCAAAGCTACGGGGACCTGGAGCTGCCTTGGCAGTCCGGATGCATTGAAGCGTAAACACAAAGCAGGCCAAGCAGCTTGGCAAACGTGGGGCTTGATGTAGCGCGGTGTGAAAGCCTGTCTTGGGTTAAAAGAGCGATTAAGGGCTCAGGATCTTGGACGAATTGTGATATATGGTGCATGTGTGGGGGAAGGGGGAAGGAGGTTGGGGATTCGAGATAACATTCTCGCCTGCAGCGGACATATAGACATGACTTGGGAACTGGGTCTGTGGTTTGGTTTGGAAGCAGCCGCTGAGAAACACCTTACTTAGAAGGTGCTCAACTCGATGACAAATCAACTTCCTGCCCTGGATCCCCAGATGCTCCAGAGTCTCCTCCACCACGAGCAATGCCATATCTGGAGATGAGCGACTACTCGACCCTGAGGCCCCGAATGCTCAGCAGAACTGGAAAATCCGACAATGTCCCATGACCCTAGCCTCGATGTCCCAAAGGTCCCTAAAATTGCCTAAACCCTGAACTTTCTGTTTTCAATGCGAAGCATTGAACAGCCGTAATGGAACAAAGGCCTTGCGCCGTAAAGCTCAATCGATGTTGATGTCAACGTGAGACCCAAGTTGTGGGGAGCCCTGACCCTGATGCCAACACCTGCCTTGCTGCGAATATCCATGGGCCCAGCTACAGTTGCCATGGCACTTGCACGGGCCTCTGTCATGTTCGGGCATGGAGGGCCCGTGCCACACACCTACAGCTTGGGAAACTTTCGATTAGGGCGTCTGAAAGTAGCATTTTACGTGCAGCTGTGTTCTTGCGTTGCTTAGTGCGGTATAGGCATCGTCCTGCAACGGCCAAATGCCAGATTGTTCCGGACAGCTCCGTTCAGATTGGGTTGCTGCCATGCACAGTCCACTTGCTATCTCGGGAGTGTCGGACCTAAGCCCTGGTCTCCTAGATCTCCATGAGTATCATCTGAAACGAACGTTTACTTCGAGGAATGCGAGCGGAGCGCATGGTTTCATGGTGTTGTCTTCGGGGAAGAGCGTTCATTGCAGAATGGCGTGTATAACGCTAGTTGTTTGACCGATGCAAATCCTGTCGGGGCCTCCTGTAGGTCGAGGAGTCATGTCACTGGTCGCTTTCGACAACTTAATCGCTTAATGGCCCAACGGCGTTCATTGGGGTTTAGCACTGATTGAACAAGTAGGGCCGTCTTTCCCAACTGTGTGTAATATGGTAAAGAACTACTTATCCAACTGATAAACTCACGGGGGGGAAAAAGGATTCCTACAAACCTGAAGAAATTAGGTGCAACTTCCTTTCAAACATACAACAAATTGAGGAAAGCTCTTCGTAAGGTGGATTCGACTCATTTTTTCTCGTACATGGATCATGTAGCCCCTCATGGCCCCATGTACGAACCTCTACTAGCTGTGCTTCTTGTAACACTACACTCTTTTGCTGACCTCCTTCATTTTTTAGGAAAAGAATGCCTATCTTTGAGAATGCCCTTCATTCGAGAAACCTCCATAGAGCCTCTGGGAGCTGTCTTGTGAAACACTAGACTCTCTGGCTGGCCTCCTTTACTTTCCCCTCTTTCAGAGCCATTTCAAAAAACCGCTATGTTATTTGAGAATGCCCTTCATTCGAGACCATACTTATACATATATATATATATATATATATAGATATATATATATATATATACATATATGTATAATGAAATTACCTTCAAACAAGATGTGCCAGCATTTCACGGAGAACCCACTCTTCACTTCCAAGCCTCTGCTTGCTTCCCTTCCCTGACCCTCGTCTGCAATCTAGAAGCATCAAAGCACGTCAGCTGCAAAACACTTGAATTTGGACACAACACACCTCTATGTATTCTTACTTTTCGTAGAACCCAGAGCCCCTTCTAAGATATATCTGGGTAGCAATGAACACTTTGCACATCTGCTTGCCTGCGAAATAAGGGGTGGAATTCAGTCAGTTCTTTTTCTCTACTTTTCTATTTTTAAGTTCAACAAATTCAGACGAGAAAAACAAACAAGAAAAGTGGATTTCGACAATCAATTCTCGACTCCAATTTTTAGTCCAGATTCCTGGATTGGCTTGTCCAAAGAACGTGAAAAAACTTCAAAAAAACAGCTTCTGATAACACAAAAATGTTTCACACACCCCGGTGTTTCGCTCGCTTCGCTCGCCATCTGGATTGGTGACTCACAGACGACTGTGGCTCCTTCGTCGTCTGTAGTTTTTGAGATACCAGTACTCAGTGTCGGTCTCTTGCGGATACACGAGGCGCAGCATATATATATATATATACATACATACATACATACATACATAATACAAAAAATCGCAATGAAAGGCGAATGAGAAACTTTCCATCTCTTCCATACAATCCTCTTGTTGGTCTGTTTTCATGCAAGCCAGTGATCGGGCGACGCTGTTTGAGGCAACCGTTTACGGCTTTGTACCAAGCTAAGAGGCTGGGAATGGGATGTGCAAGCACGGGGATCGCTTAGTCTGCGATCTTCCTGCTAACCTGGAAGACACACCGTGTGACAGCTTAGTGTTCGTGGATGTAAGCGCGCATGAACATAGGACACCAAAACGGGGGTGGGGGTGGGGTTAGGGCGGGTGGATGCCACCGAAGTGTCCCAGTCCAAGTTTCAGAGAATGTGACAACTTCTAAACCTCGGATCTACCTTCAAGCGCGCAAGTGTGTCCAGTTTTCTCCCGTCGCTGCACTCCGCGCCCCACTGACTTGGGCAGGACTCCGGGCGTCTGGGTGGAGGCGATCAGATTTGGCAGCATCTGTCGACAAGCAGACATCCCCAGCTGCAAGTGGAGGCCGTGAGATTGTTGTTTGATCGCGGAGGCCGTTTGAGGCCTTTCCGGCCCACCCGCTCGCGACTAGAACTCTCGCAGGCGAAGTAGGCAAGCGAGAAGTTGACGGCCTCAGCAAACTGCCTGTGCTTGCCCATCACACCTCTAATGCGATGCGGTCCAGGTCCAGGTCATGTGGCACCCTCGTCGAAGTAGTTCTTGCGCTCCCTGGCCAAGGCATCTGCGTGCACTTCGCGCTCCCTGGGCCCGGCATCGCAGGCCGGGGGTGGCTCCAGATCAAAGGCACCATGGGCGGGGTCATAGGACCCACAAGCCAACATGGCACCTCAGCTCTCTGGGGATTCCAGGAGGGGGCTTGGGCTTCGAGAGTTGAACTTACAAGGTGACAAGATCAAACAGCACCTCGATTTCAAAACCCTTGGGTTATTAGGGTTTGGGGCGTTCGGGGTCTGCAACCCAGAAGCTCTCCCGGCAGGGAAGCCGGCGGTTCCTCCCGACGTCTGCACGAACGTAGCGGATCCTGGGCTGTTCTCGGAAGTCAATCAGACGGAGGGAAGTCAAACAAGCCTTCCCATTTTACGTCCCTGAACTGCACCATGCCCCTTGCACGACGATTCCCATGTACGGCCCAGGATCGCCAAGCCCACACGCCTTTCGTTAGTCAGGTTGGGACCAGACCAATGCAGTGTCCTGAAGGTGTGCAAGCCTTGGCATCAGGGTCTACGCGTGGGAAAAGTTTGAGGCGCAACTTTCAATGTCAGCTTGGTTTATGTTGTGCAAGATGTTGTGATGCAGCACATGGGATGTAGGAGTGAGGAGCATGCCTGCCGGGACTCTTGACGGTTTTCCTTCACAAGGACAATTTCCAGCTCCGCCATTGACAACTTATAAACATTTGCGATCGGGTAGGAATATTCACAGGATCTCTAAACCTCGGCCTAACACCAGGAACCCGTGCACAACCTCCGAATGTTTTGACTCCCACATGCCTCACCCTCAACGGGCAACGCTTTCAACCCAAATCCCCCCGTTGTTGCATGCTGTATCACCGGCGAAGGGCTGGCCTCACCTGCTGCAAGCTCCACAGGCACAGCATCCTCGTCCTCCTGCGGTTTTCACGGCTTTTTCACGAGACTTCAAGAGAGAAACTTCACACCGGATCCGCAAGAGAAGTTTTACTTCCTGAAAACCTCTGGGGAACAGGTTTTCACAGCCGGAGGAGCCGGAGGAGGCAGGTGACCAGGTGTGTGGTTTTTCTCTACATGTTTGTACATCCTGCTCCTGGATGTGTATCCGATTGCCTGGAACAAAGTGTCTACGTGTGTCGACATCTCACACACCAAGCGCGCTCATCTTCATGGATCTTGAGTGGACAAGACTTTATCAGGGACCATGTTTTTGATTTCAGAGACCCGGCCTGTGGGTGCAGCCTTGGGCGTTTCGGCTTCAGAACTTTCCGGTTCGGGGCTCATCGTGCGGTTCGCGCATACTTGTCCTGTGTGACCGGGGCCTTCAAGATGACTGATGACACATGATGCCATGTGTCAACTGCCTAAACCTTGGACACCTCAAGGCATAAACCCTCAACTTCCAGCTTTAATGCCCTGCTCAGTTGCTAAACCTTGCATCGCTCAACCATAGCAGCGAGCATCTGACATGCACCGAAGGGAGCTTACCTCCCATGTCCTGCGCATCTGCCAGGAATTCAGAGTCGCAGCAATGGAAGCCAATTAAATTTTCAACCTGCATGGAGGGAACAACCATCGAAATATTTGTTGGAAGGTATCGTAAGAAAACAATAGCAACAGCAAAGTAACAGAAACATTAAGATTTGCAGCGGTAATGGTAACAAAGTGTGAAATAGTGCTCGTACTCGAGCTAGCAGTTGCAAGGGTAAGCGTAACAAACAGCAACCGCAACCAGAAATAGCAATGATAGCCATAGTCATAGTATTAACTATAATCATGGACTGTATGCTAACAAAAACAAAGCCAGAGTACTGGTAATAGCAACAGGAAGAGTAACGGCGATGGAACCGATGAGAAGAATTAGCAGTAACAATAGAAATAGACATAGAAGTAGTATCGGCAATGCACGTGCAGTACGAAGTAGAGGCAGGGCACCTCATCATCCTTCCACGCCCTCCCGCACCTCTGTCCCGCAGGTAATTGGTAGGAGGGGAAACCGCTACCACTACCGCTCACAGCAACATTACCAACAGCTCTCAAATGCTGATCCGACTTTGACCCTGACAATTCTTGCACACCTTGTCGTCCACACAGTGCGGCAGTTCGCCGTGAAGGTGCGAATGGCGCCTAAATCAGGGAGCGATCATGAGGCACAGGATCGTGGCGGCTGATTCTTCCAAGTCAGGGATCTACCTGGACCGGTAACGGCAACAAAATCGCAATCAAAGTCCAGGAGCCGAAAGAAGAGTCCGCCCATCTCAGTGGCGGCATCTGTCAGTGCCTTGGGGCTTTGCAGAGAGGTCCAAGGCTGAAGTTATAAAGCACTCTGCATTCGGGGCGACAAGCCGGCACCAGAGTTTGCTCTGAACAGCCTTTATTGCTGCCTTATGACCTTGAATCATGCCTGCAGCTTCAAGCCTTGAAAGGGTTTGTCAAGATTCAGATCGCTGCCACGAAGATGTGAACCACTGAGTTCCATGCATTGTCAAGGTACGGTGCTGTAGTAACTCGCGTGACGCCCATTCAGCAGACCCATTCGCAGCAACAGCATGTGATGTTGGAGTTCAGCGTTTAAGACCTATGGAGCCTCCTGAATTTATGCCCTAAATCCACTGGATTAGGAACAAGTTGCCAGCCAAGCTGTCAGTACCGCGTCATTGGGTGCCAGACTTGCGAAGATGAAGTCCTCCAGCTCAAAATTCGCGTGCTGCTTGGTTTGGGGGTCGTAGGGAGTCGTTACGCCTTCTTTCTAAAAGACTCATGAAGCACCAATTGACTTTTCCGCGCTCTTGATTTGCACGGGCGAAGACCTTCAGCCTTGGGGGAGCCCGGGAAAGACTCATCAGGACCCACATTTAAGGTAGCATCACCTTCTGCAACCCATTTTCTAGCCCCAAAAGTCTCAATGTCCGAGAGAGCACGTCCTGATGAGGTGCGGCGTGGCGCTTGGACAGCGGTCCCTGGGAGGTTTGGGGCCGTGGGGCATTCCGTGGGTGGTTCTGTGGCCTTTGGGTTGGATGCCAGCCGGGGGAAGGGACGATTTCGCCTTTCGAGGGCCTGCGGGAGCACTTTACCACAACTTTTCTGCTGAGCTGCCAGAGGACTTTGTGCCTGGACTTTCATGCCACTAGGAAGTTTGGAACTCCGATCGGCGCAAAGGCTGCAAGACTCCAAGCTTGCCTTGCTATCTAAACGAGCAACAAACATGAAGAAGATTTATCTCGAAGCACGCGGTTTCATCTGGATAAGCAGCTACAAGCTGCAGGCTTACGCCTGCGCAGTATCTGCAATGAGGCAAGTGATCCGCGCGCATGCTCTTTGGGACTGCGCGAATGCAGATTGCCGGAGAGGCTTGAAAGGTTAAAGCAGGGTCAGCAGCCTTGGCGTTGACTTCCGAGAACCACACGAGAACATTCCTGGGCTTCGGTGGCTGAAGGCATGTGACATGGAGATGTTTCAGGCAAAATATGCCGTCAAACTATCTAGTGCTGGTTTCGGGCATCCCGGCTTGCTGAACGAGGGAAGTTGCTTTGAAAGATACTTTTGCTAGTGGTGGGAAGCAGCATTGCACCCAAGCTCTGAGCCCTTCCAAGGATATTGAAGTTCGTTCCGGCATGTTCTGGCAGTTTGCCGTTCATGGTACCCTAAGCGCCAAAACTAAACCCTAAATCTCATAGCTCGGTCATTCCACATCTCACAGCATTCATTCGCACTGAAGCCTTGAGGCCTTATGGGTAGACCTTCGGATAGCCTAATGATTCCATATGGCAACCAAATTCCCAGATACCTCCAAAACATCATGAAAACCTTAATTTTTAAAAAATCTGCACATGTTCAAAGCCCTGAACCCTTCGATCCCTGAATCAGCCATCAATCCGAAAACGTAAGCCATCCTAGTACACTCGCTAGTTCACTGTCGGAACCTTACAAATCCAGTCCGACATGATCACGTTGCCTAAATGACCAGCGTCTCCGTTCCCAAGCCGGACTTCACCTGGGGCTGTCCGAAAATGAGTTTCCCCTACGAAGCCACGAAGCGTTAGGCTTAGGATGGCCCTGAGGGCTTCACAGGTAAGCTAGAGCAGATGCACTATCAAAAGGGGACCCCCTTCACTATGGATCCCGAACTTGCAACTTCACGACTTTCCCAAACCGCCGATCCTCAGCCGGAAGTTCCGACCACAGACCTCAAGCATTTTTTTACTTCCACCGTTAATTCGTACAGCCCTGAAGCCCCAAGTGTTTTTGCTAGGCCTGCTAAACACCGCTGCTTGGCTCCACAGGCGTTTCCGCATCGTTTCCACGTGCGGCTCAGGCGCGGCCTCCAGAAGCCTAGGGTGGGTCACGAGCCTGGCAGCCTGGGCTCGTTGTGATGTGGAAACTTTTGCAAGCTTCAGGGCGTCCCAGGGTCGTGTTTATATGTTATTTGAGGTTGGCACTGTCGAGTGGTGCTTTGCAGGTACCACGAAAGGATCCCAGCCCAGAACACACTTGCGGATTCAGGGGCCTCTTGGCTGAGGCTTGGTTTGGGTAGTTTCACAACATATGCAGCTGCGCAAACCTGACTGCTGAAGAAGGCTGACATGTACAGGGCAAGAAGTTGCAAAAACCAGAGTTGCCGAACGTCAAACATCCACCCTGCACAAAGCGCAACGTCCTAACCCTAAAGCTTCATCCCTAAGCCGACTGTCGTTCAATCTACTCCACTTGGCTAACGGACTGAAGCCCCACAGAAAGATATGCAAGAGCCAAGAACACAAGACTCCCATGTGCACGCACACGCACACACGCATGCGCGCGCGTGGGCAAAAACATCTGTGCTCCCCTGTGCCTATGACTCATGCTACCGCCCCTTTAAGGTTCGAAGAATCTCCGTCCCGGACGCACGAATGAAAACAAACATTGGACGTGCAAACTTCCAAGTTGTTCTACAGCCTGTAGGCTCATATAGTTGCTTGCACCAAAATAGGACTTCATGTTTTGAACAAGCCGCCCACGGGTAGAGCAAGTGTATCTTGAAGCGTTGCTCACCGTCAAGGTCCTGTGCCTGCGCCTTTGGCGGGGAAAGAGGTGCGGGTAGAAATTTTGACCTTCCTGTTTCACCCTAAACAGGGGGACTCCCTCGAGGAGGAGGGGGGGGGGGGGGGTAGACACAGGTAGCTTTTTTCGTTAATTAAAGGGGACACACATGGCGCCCTATGGCAATTTCTTTCCCGGGAGGCCATTCTGCTCTGCCTCCTATGAGACCTAGTGCGAACTGCAGACAACCCTCCTCTCAGAACGTATTTCCGAACCATAAGGCCCCTTTGCGTGGCCTTCCAAACAATCCCCGTCAGATACCTTTATCATATAGCATCAGACATGGGTACCAGCTTGGACTCTGAAGGGGTCTCCCGCTTGATTTATAGCAACAGTCTATGGAAAAGCAGGGAATGAGATGGGTACCTGCGGGGGTCCACTTTGTTTTGACACCGCACTCACTTTGCCTCATATGAAACCTAGTACGAACCGCAGACAACCCTCCCCCTCTTCTTCTCCTGGTACCTATGTCTGGTCCTTGCGGAGCCTCTAAGGGATCCCCTCTCTGGCACCTTTCCAACTCCCCGCTCTGACAACATATGACAAACGAGCACCGGACATAAGTGGAACTCAGAATCCCCTCCCACCGCCGTTTCGAGGCGGTCCCTGCCCCTAAACCGAAAACTTCCTACACTCCAAACTGGTCCAAACTTTGATGTTCCGAGTTGTGGGTGCCGGTGAAAGACAATCGGTTGTCAAGCTTGGGTGGGTGAAGACCACAAACGTCAGACTCCATCAAGGGTCGTCAACATTTGTCTCCAGGGTATCCTTTTGGCCATCCCAGAACAAAAGCTACCTTCCTAGAATGGCGTCGGTGGCCTGACAATCCTCTTGTGTCCCACATTGAAAGCGCGAAGCCCCGATCAACTTGGGACCTGAAGTAACGATTCCCAAGATTTCGCCCGCAGGATGCGTGCAAGGAACGCCGGGTCCCAGAACGCGGGCGGCATGCCTCAGTGTGTGGGCTTTGGATTTGCAAATCCTCGAGTCTTATAAAATGATCTCAAAGCCAGCCGCACACGGGTGCCCCCGGCCCAGGTGCCCACGGAATACTGCACGTATACGATCAGAGTGATTTGATAACATTGACACTACCCCAAACGTCTTCCCACAATGGAACATGGCTCGTTAACACGCCCGCTGGGGCGAGTTAGGAACTTTAAACTTCCCCTGAAAGCCTCCAGCCCTTTCTTAGGCAAGCGACTGGTCCAAGCAGGACAGCGACTTGGCGGCCTGGGGCTGAGGTTGGGTACGGTTGGGTCCTGGGGTTGGGAAATCGGTGATCACTAGGCTTGAGAAGCGCAACCAAAGGCATCGATGGGGGCTTAGGATGTGCACTGGCCACTTCCCGAAAGCTCCCGAAAGTGCAAGGATACCTGCTTGATCTCCCAACACATGACATGCATGTCCTGGGCACTGCCATGTCTCCGCTTGCGGAATAGTAGCAAACTCCATACACTTGTTGACACGGATACAAACCTCAAGAAGAAGAAACGAGCCAAGCCCTCCATCTCACACCAATCCCATTTTTGGGAAGCACATGCTGCCATTCGTAGTCATCCAGCCGCACTACACCCCCCGCGACCCTCCCACGACCCTGCCAGTGCCTCTGCGGCTCCCAGCGCAGCGGCGCAAGCCACGAAGCCATCGCGGCCCAGGCGCAGAGCGAGTGGCCTCCATGACCAGGTCAAACTCACAACTCCCCAATACAGGCAAACAACCAGCGACTATACAAACCACAAACGCTGAGGCCCAAAGTCTTGCAGTCTTGAAGCATTCTGTCCATTTCCTGGATCTGAATGTACCAGTTTGGGTGCGCTATGCCTGGGAGTGTTGTTCCATGACGTTGAAAGATACAGCCGTGAAAAGGTAGGACTCTTGAGGGCTTGAGGGGCCTCCGTGAAGTCAACACTCGAAAAGCGTTGACCCTCCTCCGAACTTGACTGACCTTTGCTCTTCTATAAAAAAGGCTCCGAGGTCTTAGACCTGGGCAAACAAACGCACAAGGCAAGTTCGCGCCAGGAAGCAAACACTCAAGTCCCCAAAGCCCATAAAGCCAAAAACACTCCAACACCTGTTCAACATCACTTCAAGACCCAGAACCCTTTAATGCTTGAACTTAACCGAATCACGCCCCAGAACCAAAACTCAGCCGCCTGGGTTCCGGCTCGAGGCGCATTCGCTTCGCGGAGTCCAAGTGCTCCAAATGCTCCCCTGGCCCTGGTGCCTGCGGCTCCATCTCGTGGCCCCCCGGATTTGGGTTTTGGAGGCTACCTTGCTGACACAACATTTAGCAGTTTAAGGGCTTTAGGGTTGGACTTTGATTTTCCTGGCCCTCAAGGAGTGCTTGTGAAGAGCCTACTTGGATACCAACGCGTCCAGCTAGAAGCACTCAGATCATCGCGCATCTCTCAGGCAGTGGCAGCCTCGAAATCCCTGCGCCCCCGAACATTCATCCAGCCACATATATGCACTAGCAGATCTTGCGCATACATCTGGCCATATCATATCTCCCTCCCAGCTTTACTCTCAAAACCGGCGGAAACTTGCAGGGCATACCCTTAGACACGCGGACTTCCTCGAGTGCCAATGTGCGCTCTGTTCAGCCCATGCTTATCAGAGGACTTATGGCTCCAATAGGGTGGCCGGCAGACAACGTGCCCACCGGGCCGATTCTTTTTTAGGTGCCTACTCAGGCAGATACATCGCATGGCAAGACAGCTCGACATTCTGGTTCTCCAACTGAGTTGAAAACAGTTAAAACCACAAAATCGAGAGCAGATGAGCAGCATCCACTCTTCTGCATGGTTGCGTCACATTGTATCTCAAGCTTTTTTGGTATCGTGTTCAGCAGGGTAGCATGCAGAGTAGACGGCTTGCAACGTTCTTCACTCGAAAATCACACTGAGGTGACCGTCAGCACGGACCATATCTCGAACCATTATGGGTTCACAGGTCACAGGAACCTTAAACCTATCATAGTCACGCCAAATGGGTCTTTCGGGATTTTGCGGACAGTAAATTTCCATCGATCCCATTCGCTCTATACAGCAATGTATTGTTGATACCAACTGGCCCCAAGCTTGGTGGGCGCCCCCTTGGCTTCCATCGCAGCCTCCGCGATTGCGAAAAGGATGCGGTCGCGGAACTGGAGATACCTAGGTCCCCGCCCCCAAAAGATGGACTCCGGATTCGTTCAAGGGCCTCCCTTTTCGAAGAGGAGCATGTCCAACGCACGCTTGGGATTTGAATGATGTGGGGGAATGTGTTGGCATTCGTTGCAGAGGCGGGGTGCCAGGATTGTTTGCACCATCGGTTCGCTGCGAGGGTTTGGCTTTCTCAGTGTAGAACGATGGAAAAGGGTTCAGGGGCTTTGGCTTGATGAGACTTTTGGCAAGCATCGTAAACTAGGCCAAGGTGTCAAGCGCTAGGCAAGCGCTGGGGGTCTAGCAGCCTAGCACTCGCGACTGGACTTCTTCTCTCGGGGGTGCGGCGTCGGCAGTTTCGGGCATCGCCCATCCACCCATTTTTACGCCTGCCAGACTTTAGTTGGGGGTTGAGGCTCTAGGGTTTGGTGCTCAGGTTTTTAAAAATCCGGGGCGCAAAGCTTTGGAACCAGCGTGGTCAAGAATCCTTGACGATGGCAACTAGAAAGTCAAGAGCCAAGCTACAAAAAGCATACATTATTTCCGAACGATGTTGAAGCAAAATGCTACAACTCTGATGAAGTTATTGCTTGAAACAATCATTCACCCTGGCCGGAAACCTTTGATGTTGAGCTTTGAACCTTCGAACCTACCTTCTTCATGACACCCCCGCCCTCGCCCTACTCCAAAAGCAGGACTGCTGAGGAGGCTGCACCTCTCCACCTTCGGCCCTGGCGGAGTGCTTCAAGTGAGTACGTTCTGGGCGGAATAGGATGACATGTTTTGGGTGGCGGGTGAAGAGGGCACAGCCGGGATAGTTGTTTGAAGGCGAAACATTATCATAAGGATTCGGTCGTACTACCGAGACCCTCCCAGTCCAAAGCCATTGAGGCTGACTGAGGTCTGCAATCTTGATTCGGTTTTTGCGGCCCAAACTGGCGTTCGGCTCCCCGGTTCTGGGGTCCTTTCTTTCAATGCGCTCACCTCCACTTGTGATGCTTGCGACGCCCATCATTGTAGCTATCACAGTGAAGCTTAGGCGCTCTGAAAAACGGGCCGGCTGGTTTTCAACAAAAGGGCAGACTGAAAAGCTGGCTTGGATACATTTCAGCAGGGGAGGAGTTCGGATGGGAGGGGGAGTCGACCGACATTACGGCTTGCAGCGAGGATGAGCTGCATCTCCTTCTCCTTTCGGGTTTAGGGAACCCACCCCTTTGCAAACAGTTCAGCTCCCAGATCATGCAGCAGAAGCCGTAGCAAGGATGCCACAGCCCAAACCCCAGACCCTGCCACGGTTCCCAAGTTCCCAACATCGAAATTTGCATCGCGCCCTCGGGCTTTATGTGCCATATCGCTTGGTGTGGGCGATACAGTCTTGAGGCTTGGAACATTGAGGGCTTCGAGGTTTTCGGGTATGTTTTTCAAAGAGCTGTGAGCTGATCTCAGTTTACCCTACTGTGGCGTCGACGCAGTTACTCGTTTGAGCCCTTCCTGCGACGTCTGAGTTTACAAGCCCTGGGGCGAGCATGTACGGACGTTATGGAAGTTGGGAAGTTGGATATGCCAGCGAAGGCCGTTGATGGTGCTTTTGGAACTGAGCACGGCTGCTTCTAGCAAAAGAATGACCCACCAATTGCCCGACCCATGGTTCATGATGCTCGAAGCCTGAAAAAAACCTGAAGAAACCCTAAGGGAACGACCTCAGCTGTGCGCAGAAGTGCTGGAGATCCTCCCGGCTTTCAGGTCTCGGGGTTTGGCAGGATGACATTGGGTGACACCATTAACTCGAAAGCTGTGCTGGGCTTGCAATCCCCTGTTGGAGCCCCCAAAGGCCTTCCAAATCCAGTGACAGATCTGGCAAAGCTTCTTAGAGTCGTAGGGACCCAGACCAAGCTCAAAACCAAGGCTCCTGTTTCAACGGTCTCTTTGTGGCAACAGGAAAGTTGAGACGGAAAGGCGCGACATCCAGCTTTGCGAGCCCCGCAACTCACCGCAACATTTCTGCAAAATCACATTCTCGACGCTGTCAACGCAAGTCATGGCTCCTCTTTGGCATCCCGCAGAGTGCTGAGGAAATCCAGCCACCTGCTAGACTGAACGTTTCCGTGCCCTTTCCGGAATTGCTAGTGGTAGGATGCCTCAGTCCGCCCTCACCCAAGGGTCCCAACTAAAGTCGAGTCCTACGTCTTGCAGGTGGCAACCCCGTCTCTCAGTCCTAACTCTTCAGCCTCCCGAAGCCCCCACCTGGTCAGGGAGACCTCGCATGGATAGGAGCTCACGTACCTGGTTGTCAGGTTCAAGTTCTACGTCGTCTGCTTGGGGCCCCGTATCTTCAGAACCTGTGATTCTGTGATCTCTCAAATGTCCCTCAGCAACTTCCCTTAGCCATTCCAGCGCCCTCACAACAAAAATCAGCAGCAGCAGGGCGCGATGTCACGCGCAAGCCAGCCGCGCTGAGCTCCTCGTGGCCGTGTCTTGCTTGGGGCAACTTCGGCGTCTTGAGTTTGGCTGAAGCCCCGCCCTTCTAAGAAACCCTCCAGCATTGTGCCGGAACAACGCGAATAGCGTGAAGGCAAGCCCATCGAAAAAGCTTGCACCAACATGTCAATGTGAAGAAGTGCCACAAACATAACAGACAAGGTCCCAGGCATCAGGCCAAACTGTTCTCACTGGCTCCGAAAAAAACAGTTGTGTGGTTCAGCGAAAGTCTTGAAGGCGATGACGCAAAACGTGACAAGACTCGCTCTGCAAGCTGCTATCCAGCTGTGTGTACATTGACATGCTGATCCCTAAAATTCTGAGGGCGGAACAAAGCACAAAACAGGATCAGGATCACTGTTGCTTGGGGAAACGGTGAACGGAAAGGCTTCCCAACAACCGCTTGCGGGTTCATCGCACGTGTACCTTGGGAGCACTGCGGCGTGCCTGACCCAAGCGGAAGCGGACTGCTTGACTGACCCAAGCTGAGGCTGGGGGGGGGGGGGTGCGAAAGCCAAAGGGGACGTCGCTTGAGAAAGCTTTGCTGCTCCGAACAAACAACAGCGACGTTGCTAAACAGTCCTCTGCCAGCGCAGCTTCTTTGCTATTGTCCTCCCGCCACCTGCGTCATTGCGCAGTTCAAGCTGCTTGGAGTGCGCTACAACATGGATGGAGCTGTTGGGCCAACTCGTTCAAGGCTCTGCATTAGCTTCCCGACTTTGCAGAAGAGTACATGTAGCAAGATTGCAAGCGGCTCAACAATTCGAACGGTTTGCAAGCAGCCTGTCTGGCATCGGCCAGTCGAGGTGGCGCCACGGGCCTTGCTTGGCTGTTGTCGTTCGTCGCAAGTCCAAGTGGCAGCACGGTGAAAGTCGCAAACTGCAGTGGGGATTAAGGGACGGCTGCTTGCTCTGGAAGGCTTGGGGCTTTCATGTTTTGGGCTTCAGCCTCCCAGTGCTCCAGTACCTTATCGGATGCCTATACCTTCCGAAGCCCCACACAAAGTCACAACCATCAAGCAGTCGCAAAGTTTGTGAAACCTTACAGTAAGCGTCCTAAGCCACCCCCCATCCCCTATGCGATCCAAAGGGCGCGCAGCAACGACTAAGCCTCAGGTTCGGCGCGTAGGGTCTCGGGATGTCTCGGGATATCTTGCGATTTTGGTTTTGTGCGCACTGAGCAGGATATGACGGGGTTGTGGGCCGGGACAGCGGAGAGAATCCGGAGAACTGTCGCTAAGAGCCCAAGGTGGCTCAACACATGAGAACACGCAGGGGGCATCGGTTTGGGGTTTGTGCTTCAGCCTCTGCAAGCTCTACATCCTCTAAAAAAATTCAAAGCCTGCCCAACCACCCCAAAATACTCTGAAACTCTTCAACTCCTTGAAGCCCTAAGCACACTGAAATTCAAAAGGCGACACCTATAGACTTATGGAACCCTACGTACCTCCTTTGAGCCCAGGTGGCGCCCACCAGGGGCCAGGGGTGGCAGCTTCAGCGGTGCATCCGGAAAGAGGAGGAGGGCCTGGCTTCGGGTTAAGGCGTCTGGATTCGGGGCTTAGCCGGCCTTAGTTTACAGGTTTTGGGGGTGTTGTGCAAGGAGTAGCGACTGTTGCAAGTGAACGAAACGAAGATAAGAATAAAGAAAATGTAATCACAAAGTGTGCCAAAGGGAGGAAAGAAGTCATTAAATTAATCCACTGATTAAATTCTCTTGTAAAACCACATTCATTGGCTAGTTTTTGTTATCTTTTTCTCTTATCTTCACATTTCATTATAAATTACAATCGCGCATGCAATAAGCGAACGCATGAAAAACCAAGAGACATGAGAAAGAAAATAAGAAAAACTACTGAACGGGGAAAATATGATGAGAATAGAATTATGATTGTGGGCAGAAAGCCCTTTAAATAGGATGTCTTTATTCTTACTGAGAGAGTACTGCTTCATTGTTAGGATTGGGCTCCTCGACTCGGCGAGTCGTTTCTTGCTTGTCTCTCAATGGCGAACGCCGCAACCATGTAAGACTCCCGAACCTCTACCATCATGTACCCGCTTTCCCTCCTGAACCCGTACACCTGGATGCGTTCATTATGGCTTGAAGCCGCAAGAGCCCTGTTCTTGCACAGCTGTGAGTCGAGTGCCGAGCCCGGTCGTAGGCCGGAGAAGCCGGAGCGCCTGTACAACAGCTTCGAGCTTACAGTGTCGAGCTGAAGCTTCAGATTTTGAGCATTAAAGGCTTGGTCGTCTGCGCAATCTGGGCACCCTGAACTCCAAGAGCACAACAAAAGACACTCAAACACACGATGACGTAATTTAATGTCTCACGATCGAGGAGCACACGCACGCATTCTCTTTACGAGGTGCTGCTTGCTGGTCGTGAGGGGGGTCGACACGAGCACAAGTCTGCCCTTCTCGAGCACGGGACCAAGGCTGGACGTAGGGGGGAGCACGATGTCGAAGCCAAATGAAGGGCCCTGCGTGTGGAACTGTGCCGGGAGCACGGTCCAAATGTTCCAAAGCCGAATGTGACGACAGGCACTTGTTATAAGTTATCAGAAGTAACTTGACTTACATAAATAGACGCGAACTTAGCTAAGTATGAAGATGTTCCCTGGATCCGAGATATGTCATCACTGACAATCTCCAATGGCTTTCAACCATAGCCTTCAAGTTTTCTTACGAAACGCCGACATGAAGCAGTGTGTCATTTGCGCCAGTCGATGCACCTCGCCTGCACCACGACGCTCTCTAAAACGTGCAACGAAAGACCCTCAAGGTTGCGAGAAAATGCTGTGCCGAAGCTGTGGTCGACTGAAAAATGTATCTCGGACGGAACGCGTGAAACCATATTATCTAACCCTGGTATTCGTTATTTTCCTAACTTCGGAGAAGTCCCCAGAAAATAACATGTGCTATATTGTCTGAGTCATGTTCTATGAAGCTTTGCTAACATACTGTAGATCTCATAAGCTTTTACTACCTACTTGCGACGTACTTTTCTGCTTACCAGTGAGCTATCCAGACTAAATTTTCAAACTCTGTGCCAAAAACACTGCCGGGTTTGCGCGCCAGGGCGGGAGCATGATTTCGAAGACACCGATACTGATACTAGAGGTCCCCATGCGGCATCGGTGTCAGAGGAGGCCCCCGAACCTTGCGATTTGGACATCCCCAACAGATTCGTGCACCAGAAAAGAAGAGGATCCCACATGGATGACATGGCGAAAAGTGCCCCACCTGCCAAAGAAACGTCTGTTGCTACATGAAAAAGGCACCGCTTTAGGGTTTAGGGTTTAGGGTTTAGGGTTTAGGGTTTAGGGTTTAGGGTTTAGGGTTTAACAAGAGCGTTGCCTGAAAACACCGAGAGCGTTGCCATTCACGGAACAGAATATGCCCGTCGCAACAGCAAGGGCGCGCAATTGCATGGAACCGCGGCGAGGGTCATGCCGATTCCAACCCGCGCATTCCGGGGAAGGCTTGGGAACAGTTGAACAGCTCAACGAGAAGATGAAAAACATAGTCGTGAATAGCTGTGTGCAGTCATTGCGTAGGAAGAAAGCGATTAGAATGTTCTTGTCGGAGTTCGGCGACTGGCTTCTCATTACCGGTCTGATGCGAAGCAATGGAGCCTGCCTGGCTTCTCTGCAGGCACTTCCTCGAGCAAGGACAACTTTGGTGAGGGTGTCAGGTCTGGGCTTTCAAGGAGGCTTTACGGTCTAGGGTCGGAATGGTAGGATTGCGAGATTTGGCTGTTTTAAATGTTTAAACTCAGGTGATGGCCTCCAAGTGACATGCTAGAAACTCAAGCCCGGCCCAGTACCCTCACACAGCCGATGGGTGCGAAGAAAGACTGCCGTGAAAGGCAAGCCCGAAGACCCTGAATCCTGCCTAAGTAACATAGAACAACCAAATCCCACAAAACAAAACACCGGCTTCAAACAAACAACGCAGGGCATTAGCTAAAGCCCCTTTTGCTTGCATCTCATGGATCGGGGGCCTTCCCGCGGAGGGCTGCGGCCACAGGCGCAGCGAGGCGGTGCGCCGACTGCGGGCCTTGAGATGAAAGGGCTCGTTCGCAGCGTTCGTGCGCTTTGACTGAACATCTGTTAGAGAGTTCGCAAAGAATGAATATATAAATCAGTCGGCATCAGAAAATGTGTCATGCAGTCACTAGAACGGTGGTAGGTCGCTACTGAGAGAGAGAGAGAGAGAGAGAGAGAGAGAGAGAGAGAGAGGGAAAGGGAGAGGGAGAGGGAGAGGGAGAGGGAGAGGGAGAGAGAGAGCGAGAGTTCTTCTTTGGACATGGCCGAGCGTCGCAATGCCTCCAGGCACTCGGCCAGAAGCCAGTTGAAATGGAGGGACGAAACACATCCCTGGGCTCAGAGCTGCGTTCTGGAGGCTTTTCTTACGCGCACATCCAAGGGTTACACGATATGTTTGCACCGACCCCAGGCAGCAGCCAGCAGCGTTAGCAACAAATCTTTACAACCTTTTCGACTTGCGAAGAAAACATGAGCGGAAGCACTTCCCGAGACACTTCTGCGTCGAGTCTCAGTCCATGCCGATACTCATGACACGTCCGACTTGAACCCTGAAATGCAACTGTGCAAGGCAATACGGACAAGGATGTACCCGTTTACCTGGAGGTTTGCCCAGCTTGCCCTTTCGGGGTTTTCCATGGATTTCCCGGTTTTCTCCCAGAGCATCTTCAAGCTCTGGGGTGGTTGGCTTCTTGGCTTCCTTGCTTCTTGTCTTGACGAGCACGCAAGAAGCCCTGTACTGCGAAAGCCCCAGCCCTTAAACAACCAACCCCCACAACCGACCCACCTCAATGTAGTTCCGTTGTGAATCGCGAATGGCGGTTTTGCAAATCTATGCTTCTGATGGCACGTGCCAAGTGCCCTGAATGCGGATGCTGAACTAGCTTGGCGACCTTCAGAGCCTCCACGGAGGTTTCGTCGTCTGCCATGGGCAGCGCAGCTAAGGATGGCTACGGTTTCTTGTGTGCTGACAGTGTTGGCCTTTAGGGGGGGGGAACAGTGGGGTTTGGAGCTTCCTTGGGGGCTCAAGCACCATCTTTGGGCCGAAAGGCTGCCATTCGAAGGCCTCAGCATGAGTAAAACACTTCGAAAAGCAGAGCCGTGGCATGCATAGCCCGGCTATTGTCACAGTGAGGAGGGAACAAGGCCTTGTGGCCACCTTGTGGCCACTGCTTGCATTGTTGCTTGGGAGCTAACTCTCATCTTGCTTTTGCTAAAGCGACACCCCCGAAACTCCCAACATGCAGTAAACTCTAAGTCCAGAGCCCACTCTGAACAAACCTTCCTTGTCAGTGCAACACGAGCCGCGTCGCCCTTTTCTCGACGTGCTATCTGGGTCTAGGCGTCGGGGCTCGCTGCCGAAAACTATGAGTGTCATTGAAGGTCACTCTGGACTAGACTCCAGAGGCCCAGGGTGCAGGCTTTTAAGCGCTTTAAGTTGAGGATGTTTGAGAGTTGAGGGCAACATGGTTTAGGAGTTGAGGAAGGTTTCCTGTCTTACCGCGCAAGAACTACCCGGGCAACTGAGCTGGTGGTGCTCCCGGTGGCTCCGCCCTCAAGGCAGAGAGCCGAAGGATTCGCGTCTCCTGCGTTAGTCAGGGGCCCTAAGCTCGCATGTCTGAGGCTTATTGGCATAAGGGGATCTCAGCACTCTGGCTGTAGGGTGTGACTGGGGAGGAACTGGTCCACTCCTTAAGCCCTACTAAGTTGTCAACGTACGTCAAAGTTTGGCCAGAGAGAAGCCGAGTTTCGGAGTTCGGCTTTCGGAAGGTTTGGGGCGGTAGGGGAGGAGGTGTCCAAGGGAGGTCCGGAAAAAGAACGTGATGCATGCTATTCTTCTCTCCGACAGGGCTTGCTTGGTCTATTTGTTCCACCTGAACCTCAGGGGACTCAAAATCCCCGACCGCTTTGAACAATGAAGTCCTGTGTGCCACCCCAACAATACTGAGTTCAATTCCGTTTTACGTGCCAGAACATGGCCCTCTGTGACCTCAAGACATCTCTGGAATAGGGGCTTCAGGAATCTAGGATTTCGCACTTCAGCTGCATGGGTCCTTTCGGGGATTGTCGCGCTGCCGCAAGGAGCACCCACGAAAGAGAAGTGCCACCCAACGATGATATCACGAACAGAACGCCTTCCTTTACACCCCGAAGGCCCTGAAGGCCCTTTCCAAACTTGTGCGAGAATCTGAGAAGGCTGTGAGTTTTTTCCGGCCGTGCTAGATCCCCGTTGACAGCCTGCGAGCAGCTTCGAGGTAGGTGCTGGTCTGCATTTCCTTCAAGCGACTCGCGGCACGACCTCACTGGCTTTTGCGTGAGTTTGCAAATGAGTTTGCGGGATTTTACGGGAGCTGACAACCTGAAATTGTAAAGCCGTAAGTCAGCGACACATCTCCCAACCGCGTAACTCCATAAGCACTGTATCAGCATCCCAAAGTCAGCACGTCTTGCTGCGCAAAGCTTGGGGTTTAGATGGGTCGAGCTTGGGATCCCCGGCTTGGCTGTAGGGCTTGAGTCTGAACTTCTGAAGCTCCAAGTCGTCGCAACCAGCGTTGTGAAGTTGTAAGGCTCTGAATCCTCTACTCATACCACCAAGGGCGCCCAACCCTCCAGCCGGAAATGCCGACGACCCAAAACCCCAATACAAAGTTTTTATGAGAGCCCTGAACCCTAGCAGCCAAGCCTCAAAGCAAGCCTCAAAGCTATGAACATCGAAGTATTGAAGTGCCCCTCGCAGCTGCCAGATTCCTCCGAGCGCCACACGCGCCGCGAAGCCGCTTTCCTGGTGTTCGTGGAGGCTTCTGCTTTGGGCGCTTTTTGTGGAAATCTGTGGATGTTTGAGTCAGGTATGTAGAGGCTTCCGGCTGGAACAAGGTGAGTTCTGGGTTCCAGCGATCTTGTCACAAGAGTCGCGATTGCAACGCAAGCGCCCCATAACAGTCCCACCTGGAAAAACCCAGAAGAAAGTTGGAAGGCTCTCAAACATTTTGGGCCCAACAAGAAAGAATCACCCAACAGGCGCAACCCGCCTCGATCTTAAGCCCAAACCGCCACACAGGGCCTGCAAAGAGCCCACAGCGGCCACCATAACACCGGCGACACCCTGGTCCGGAGCGCTCAAATCCTGGGACGGGGCGAACTGGAATGAGGAAAGCAAACGGCAAAAACGAGACTAAAAAAGCAAATATGACTGAGTAAGACGAAGCAAGAAGAAGCACGAAATAATTCGCAACACACGTGATCAAACCTCGACAGCTTGAAAGAAGGGCCGCTGCAGCTTCTCAAAAGTTGGAAGTCTTCAACAATCTCAAGGTGACCCAGATCAGAATGATCCTCTGAACTTCAAACGACCGAATCAAGAACCAAGCTGTATGAAGAAGTAAAACCGAATCGGCACAGCCCCGAAACCTGAAAGGTGAACGCACGCAGGTTATGCACGTCAACAGAAAGGCAGACTCAAGGTGACACAAAGGAACACACAGGCAACGCAAGAGTAAGGACATTGAGGAAAACCACACCAAGTAAACCAGCAGAAGGAGCCCAAAATCCAATGTGCACCTCGAGTTGGAAGTTTCAGTTCGGGGGCAGTACGAGGTTGCCCCCAGGTCAAGAAACGACTAGCACATTGAACAATAGCTATAGCTTGGAAAGGTATACTCTCAGCCATTCCCAACAGATGCAAGCACGTTTCCGTGTCCTCAGCTGAGCTCTTCCTACAATCTTAACGAATCTTAGCTTACGTGTTTACCTGGCCCAGCACACCCGGGACCTCAAAACGTATGAAATCTTACAAAGCGTTCAATTCGGAAAGCTTGTTGGCCCAGCTGCTGCACTAGCAGGCGCTGCGCTCCAGAAGCTGCCAGTGTCGCCCTGCCAGGGGTGCGGGGTGGGTTTCTTCAGCCTGGTGTGTAATGCCCCAAGCGCTTTATGCACCTGACTGACCCTCGGTTTGGGGCTTTCCCTAATGCCATGCAGGTCAACACGCTGAGTCCCTTTCATGCCCTAAGCTCCAGGAAACAGGGAGCGCCGAAGTCGTTGGAAATCTGGGGAATGGCTTCGCGGATGCTGTCGACTCATATCCCCCAAGCCCCACATCCTGATAGGCCCTTGGCTCAACTCCACAAGAAGCCGAAGCCCCCTCCTGGACTCCCACTTGACTTAGTCAAAAATCACCTTTAGACCCCAAACTTGTAAGAGTCGCAATCAATTCCTACAAGAAACTGCCAGACAAAGTCCTGTCATCATGTGGCTGCAGACTCCAGCACATCAGACTGCCCATCCCATGGCCTGCCCACGCACCCTGCCACACTCTTAGAGGAGAACACCCCCACCTCCGCAGCATCCACGTTGCCCAGGCGGCGAAGACGCTGAGCCTGGCGCAAGGACGGAGTCTTCGGGCTTTTGAGGGGGAGCAAGGGGCCGGGTGGGGGGGGGGGGGGCGGGGCTTCATCATGGGCTTTGAATGTGTCCGTACACGCTCGGCATGATTGGAGTTTGAGGTCCGGAGCTCGTTGCATCTTTCTGCTTGAATTTAAGTCTCGACTTTGCGGTTGTAGCTTGGGTTGTAGCGTTCATGATTTGGGAAAGGTTTGGGGGTTAAAGCCGAGGTCGCCTAGGTCTTACCACGCATCGCAACGGCCGCGACTACAGCTACGACCCGTGTCAGAGGCCTCATGTTGCTGCTCCTCTGCCATGCGGCGGTCCTGCAGCCAAGTCTTAGCCAATCCAAACTTTGCTCAAGAATGGCCTCAGTCGTTTGGTGACCTGCTCTATGCGATTTACACATTGGGCCGTTTTATACGGAGTGTGCCGATGTTACTTCCGCCCAAAACCGTTCCCTAACGCGCAGGCTTAAGAGCTCTTTGGTGCGGGCGCCGGATAACTTAACGACTTGACCTTTTGCTCTTCATATTTCGCAACGACACCCGAACAACTGGCACTCAGCGAAGGTCAGGATCCAGGATTTCACAGCTTTGGGTGAGGGCTTCTTGGAGTTCAGAATGAAAACCAGGTTCGTAGTCGCCTCTGATCCCGATAACTGATTGGAAGTTTCGGCATCAGGCCCCACTTGTCCTGAAGTTCTTTCCATCGCTCGCGGCTACCGAGCTCCTTGATCTGGATCTGGAAGTTTGGGCTGTCATCGTACATGGTTTCCTGAGCCACGATCGAGGTTCTGGTCAGCCGCCTCACCCCTGAAATGTGAACTTAAACCATCGCACGAACAGCTATGGAATCGACGCTCTAATTAAATCTGTCGCCCTAAACAACCTGCCTCACGACAAAACGAACGACACTTCCGCTACCTTTGTTGTAAAAGCTCCAACAGCAGAAGCCCTGGGGTTGAGGTGCTCAGAGCTTTCACGTTTAGGGTTTGGAATCTCCGGGTCGGCGCTTCAACTCCTTCCATGATGGGAAGAATGGTTCAACATTCTCGCGCAAATTTCTACTTGCTTCGGCTGCCAGTCTACAGAAACGATGAAGTCCACCATGCACCGGGGTACGACTGTTCTTCGGATGGGTTTCCGAAAGGCGAAGAAGAAAGAGCGAGCAACGTCCATGTAATCTCGTTTTCACATCCGTGAGGGGTTTGGGAAGGCAGCATCTGGCAGACGGGCGGCGCCAGCCGTGAAGAGTCACCAGCAACTAAAATCAAATCATGCTTCACGCGAGTGAGTCTAAAATCCATCGGAAAGCTTCGCCAAAGATTTCTTCACGAACGAGGTTTTGGTTTCCAGGACGTTGAAACTTCCTTTGACAATGTGCGCCCGGCAGAAAGATTCAAAGAACTTTCAATCGGAAAATGAACGGCCGAAGGCCTTGCCCAAAGGTGCGTTGTCTCTTTGTTGATCTTTCCAGCCAATTTCCGTCACCAAGCTCCTGCCAGTGAGCCCGCCGGGGACTGTCTTCGGACTGGCGCTGCGCCCACAGGCACAGGTTGAGAGCAGCACTCCTCAAGACTCGACACCCACACACCGCGAGAATCCCTCAGGAGGTGCCAAGGTTGCAGGCTCCACAAACCTTGCAAGCCTGCAAGCCGCGCCTGGATTTGGGTTGTGGCTGCGTGGCTGCGATTCGTTGGAGTTTCGGCTGGAATCCACGACTTGGTCTTGGGATTCTAAACAGCACACAGACCTTGCCCTTTGCTCTTGTCAAGCATGCTGCAACCGAGCATGCTGCACAGCATTCATTTGCCTGCGGTACTGGCCGTCCACGCGTGTGGTGGCAGACGTACCATCAACTGAAGTATGGAGTAGTTCAAAGATATTCAGAAATAATCTAAGAATCGCTGCAGGGCTCGGAAAACCAGACATCGCATGACCCGTGTGCCCCGAGCCCAAGGCTCCAAAGCCTAACTAGCCACATGTCGAGGTGCGAAAACACCCAGACGATCTGCATCAAACTCCTCATCCTGCAGTGTGCTTGGTAGAGTTGCAGGATGTTGCAGTTGTAAAGTTTAGGAACCACTTAGGGCTTCTTTGGGCCTAGGGATGTGCTGGGAGTCTTTCAGCCTTGAGGAGTTTATGGCTTTCGATACAAGAGGACAAGTCAGACGCTGCAAGCCTTAACAACTTGAAGCCTATAACATCCCGCACATCTCGCTGCCGAGCGTACTTGCAAGACCATGAACCGCACCTCGCGAAGCCTGCTAAGGGCTGGAAACCCCGGAACACAGGTTGCAGGCAAGCAGAAACCGTCAAAGACCATCAACCATCAAGGAATCCCGAGTCCCCAAAGTCCTGGCTGGCCTTTTGGAGCACCTCAATGCTTCGGAGGACCTGCAAGACTCACCCCGGGTCACGATGCAACCCCATAACCTGAAGCTCTCAGAACTTTAGAAAAATTTAGCGAACGCAACATTGAAGACGCAAAGCTTGGGGGGACCACTTCAGATGAAGGCAGAACCTGACCTCGAAACCATCATCGAAACCCTGAAGCTTCAGGGCCTCAACCCTGAGCTGCTACGGCCTCTTGGAGAGCGAACATACTTCACACTGTGAGGCTATGCACGCAGCCTCCTCAATCCGCCCGTTGCTGTGGCAAATCAACCGCACAGAATGCCTCGGTAAGCAAAACAAACACACCCACACACACACACCCACCCACACCCCCACACCCCCACCCCCACCCCCACCCGCGCGCACACACACACACACACACGTTTCAAGGACGCTTCGCAGGGATGTCTGGGTTGAGGACGCAAGAGCACCTTTCAGCATTGAGGGCGGGGGTTGGGACTTGGGTCTTGAAGACTCAATTGTACGGTACGAACTGGCATTGAGCCGTCAGACTGCTTGAGCCTAATTTGTTTAGCGAACCTTTGACTTCTGTTGGTGGCGACGTTGTGTTCCCTACCGGAAACGATCCATGATCACAGCGCGCAGTGTGTTTCAAAATCTGACGGTCCAAACTTCCGAAGCTCGGGACTCCCCATCTCTTGCGAAGCCTTAGATAAGCCTGGATGCTCATAGAGTGCATCCACGAGGTTCGTAAACCTTCTTGCCTCGTTGTGCTCCTGGAGTCGGAGGATTGAGGCTGCTTCATGCCCCTACCCGGAAGCCCTTCATTCATGCTTGTAAATTGAAGTAGTGTTTGCTTAGCGCCTTTGAAGAAATGAGGGTTAGGCACCAGGACCAGGGCTAGAACACCTCAAAGCCTCAGATCCATCACAGAACGCAACGAGTGACATGTTCAGCATCCAACACAAAACCTGTCAGCATGCCTCAGGTCACCCACCCTTAGCCCGAAACCTCCCGAAAAAAAACTTGAACCGCCACAGCATACCTCTCCTCCAGGGTGAGGCGAGGCACGTCGTGGACAAAGAGCGTGTGGAACCTTTTGTCTCACCGGGAGATTTAAACGCAGGCATTCGACAAGCCCTCCATACAGACCCTCAGCACCCCGACAGCCTAACTTGGAGTGGAGTGGAGTGGAGTGGAGAGTGACCAGGATGGGCTGCACATCACATCTCAAGAAATGCTTGCACAGCTTCTCTTCTCTTCAAGCAGTCTGTGGTGAAACAGTGGTGAAACAGTAGGCATGAGCTCAACGGAGCTGAGGCTGCGCACAGGCCCGTTGAAGCAGTTTTGTCGAAGCTACAGGGCCATTCTGGGTTCCACTGCGCAGACAGCACCCCAGGCCAAGCATTCGCCCCATCCCGGACAGACATCCATGAGGCAGGTTGGCTGGATCATGGACTCATGGATCCTCCATCCATGCCATTCCAGCCGTGGCAAGCAGCACTCGGCATCATCTCTGCTTCGTCGAAGAGCGAGACATCCTCGTACTTGCATTTTTCCATCTCTTGCGGGCATGCGAAACCCGACAGAAAGATGTGATCCGGCAGTCCGGATGCCGCCAGCTCTTCCGGAACTCCACTGCAACCAGCGCGCCGAAGCCGTGCCCAAACTGCCGACTTTCGGGCACACTGGATTGATGTGGAGATTGCACGAAGGGCCGGGAGAGACGCAAGCAGGTGCACTAAGCACAACGAGGCCACCGGCATCTCCATCACGGGCGCTTGCTGAAAGCGATCCGTTTGAAGTTTGACAGACACAGGGAACTGGCTGGCCGACATCCCGTCCGCAAAGTCTCCGGGCCCACGCAACCAGACGTCCACGGCGGGGACAAGGCACTGCTCGCGCGGTCGACAGCATGTGCTCCGCTCGCTGCAGCGTGGCCAACCGCCTGCTGCCTGTCCTCCAAGCCATCTCGCCAGCCTCTACACGTCATAAGCCGGCTGTTTGCAGAAAGGTTCCAAGTAAGGATAGATCAAGCCTTTCACATCCTTCATACAAATCTATGTCATAGTGGCAAAAAAGCGCAACGATAAAGCGCACACACAACTTTGAAAACCTTCTGCGAACGCAGGGTTGCATGAGTTCTTCCCCTCCGCTGCCGCTGCGGCGCGCCGTCATCCCGGTAGAGGCCGAGATTGACCAGATTGCAGGGTTGGCGCGCTCCACGCATCTCTATGTCGCACGCTTTCTGGGCGCACCACGCTGCACCTCCTGCCAGATGTTTGCCAGGCGAGCGCCGGTTTCGGCCCTCACCACTCCAGATCCCGAGACCGTTCGCCCAAACCTTCTTGAAGCAGAAGGCTGCCAGGCGAAGATCATTTCTTGATAAATACATACGTGCACGACTTTTTTTTGGGGTTTGATGGTTTTGATTTGTTCCTTTCTCATCGCAACATTGGCTGCTCCATCGTCGACCTCCTTGGTCGGCCCCTCCCCGGCACTCTCAGCACCTCAGACACCCATCTCTCCAGCAGTGGAGGCACTGGCAGAACGCTCGTGGAGAAGGTCTCCCAACCATCAGCTCTGCTGTCACTGTCGCCCTGGACCCAATCAGGCAGTGTCACAGCGCTCGGCGACCAGGTCTACCAACCATCATCGTCGAAGGCAGCACGGTCCTCCGCCAGGACCTGAACTTCTCAGGGAGGTAGAACCCTAGCAAGAGTGCGGTGAGCGCCAGGGCGAGCAGGATGATGCGCCTCATGCTGCTTGCCGGCAGCATACGCTGGACGGCGCCGTCTCGCAGATTCACTGCTTCTGGAAACAGCAGTGGCATCTTGGATTGCTGCGCCAAAAGGTCCCGTGTCGAACAGGCTAACTTCTTATCATTTACGAGTTGCCTGTGTCAGTGTCGCAGCGATTGGACAGGACATCACTAGCAGAAGTTGCCTGTGTCAGTGTCGCAGCGATTGGACAGGACAGGACATCACTAGCTCACTAGCAGATTGTGGACGCGCTCAAGACAAATCTCAATCAAGCGGACTTTTGGCAGCCATCGATCTCAGTTCCAATCCATTGACGCCGGCAACGCCGGAAGAAAAACGCCGACGGGCGTCAGAGTGATACAGAATTCGCTGCTCCTCGGCAGCACGCACCGCCGTACTTAACAACTCTGAGCTTCAGCCACAGGCCGCCGCAGGCCACTAAACACCTTCGAAACTGAGCTAACATGACAGCATAACCCATGGGCTTGCCAGAAGACGCCATGACGAAGTCGCGCTGCGGCTGGTCGGCACGGATTTGTTACAAAATCTTCCCAAGCCGCGTTCCCCAATTGTTGTTTGTGGCGCCGGAGAGTAACACCCCAAACGGAAACCCAGAAACTGATGTCTTGCTCCGCCACGTCCAAGCGCGGAGCGATTCTGCTTCGAGCACCAACGATGAAAGCTTCAGTCGCTGAACATCACTCCAGCGTAGTCCGCCCCAGACCATCAACAGAACGCATCCAATCAGAATAGCATCGCCGCTATGACATGTATCAATGGCCTTCTCAAGCCTGGCCACCACCACCGATAATGGCAAAGGAAGCGCTTCCCTCGCAGGTCGTCTGTCCCACTTGTCGGACACAGGGCCGTAAGACCCAGCTTGTACGCCAGAAATCTTATATAAAGATCTCACCTTCTCCTTGGCACTTCCTTTGCGTGCAGAGCCGCGATCGGACGATGCCCCGATGGAAAGCGCACCAAGGAAATCCAACACCTGCTCCGACGAAGGCGCGCCTGCAAAATACTCAGACGCACGCGCAAACATGGACCACTGCCGCCAGCCAACCATGTGGGAAGAGTAGCTAATCACCGGCTGAAGACGGCATCTTCTGCAAGAATCACTGTCTGCACGCAGGGTCTCTGCCACGTCGACCCGCTTTCTCGCCAGCCGGCGAAGAGAATCATCTTGCTGACGCAAGGAACCAGCGCCCGTTGTAAAATCGCCCACTGATGCCTCGCGTCGAGACGTTCCAAGCGTGTCCTTATCCTGAAGACCCCCCGCTGCTGACTGTGGCAGCACAGACTTACCGCCCGCGTGGGTCCTGCTGAAGGGCTTGACGAAGGACACTCTTCTGTACTTGGGACGCGGAAGACCATCCTGGGCACCTGTCAATGAAAAGCACCCAGGCCCAACCTTCGGAAGAGGTCGCGGAGTCGGGGCCATCGGCAGCAGCAAAAGCAACAAAAACGCAAGCGGAAACACAGCAAGCACGCGCGGGCGGGAAACTGAAGCTCTGCGCAGATGCACCGGGTGTTGCGCAGAGCTAGAATGAGCTCACATCCACAACTTGAGCCAAAGTGGCTATGGAAAGGGTTGAAGCTGCAGCTTTCGCGAGTTCGAACTCGAGAAGGTGTGCTAAGAAGCTTTGGACGGGGCTGGGCTACAGGCACAACCCCAACAATCCAAGCACAGCACAAGGACAGAAACATGCAAGCAGAGTGGCTTCGTTGCCAAGATGAGGTAGTCTTCGGCTGCCAGGGGCCTCATCTGGACACTCCACAAACTCTGAACTTCTCCCACTCTGAACACATCTCCGAACCGTTCTAGAGACATCTAAGCACCCGGTGCTGTTCAACTCACATCCTATTACTAAACGGCGAGAAACCGCCCCACATGCGACAGGAAAAGTTCTGCCAGCAATTCCTCCGTCCGGGTAGACAGTTCTCGGCAAACTTGCTTGTGGGTTCGCGGGTGTGGGGCCCGGGGGATATGCTTTACGGTTCATAGACTCAGACGAACTTTGAGTTCAGCCTTTCTTCAAGAAGTGCAGGTTTTAGATAGAAAACAGGGTTGAAATTTTCGGATGTGAACTCGATTGCCTGCGTGCTCAGAGTCAGGTATGCCAGCCTCGACCCCAAACTGCTGGAAGAATGCAAGTGAGAACTCGACTTCCAAGAACACAGGTCAAAACTACCATCGGCATCACAGAGGATTCATGAAGAGAGCCGGACAGAGATCGGAACCGTGCGACAGTTGGCATCGCACTGTACGACTCTCTGGCAGAAAGCAGGAAAACTCAAAAGGAAAATTCACGCGTCACGCAATCCGGATCCGGGCTGCAGAAGAAATTTCAGAACCGGAGACCGTGGGAGGCCGTGAAGGAAGAGGGTGGTCTGAGCGGAGACAAGCGGAGACAAGCCTTGCCATTCTGTCTCACCATCTGGTTCTCGAGCTGCCAGAACGACAAGCGGAGACGGGCGACAAAGACAATCAAGACGAATGACAGTGCTGCCCCCGACGTCACACTATCGGCTACTTATTCTTGACTCAGGCATCAGAACCCTTCTGCTGTCAGAAGCTCTCCGGTTTCTTTTGTTTCTGTTTTCTGTCACGAGCTGTCCATAAACCATAAACCCTAAGCCATTCCGTTGTCAAAAACTGTCCGGTTTTTCTTGTTGCGAGTTTCTGGCATAAGCTGTTCCTAACATGTAATGAGCCCTTTTGCTGTTCACTTTTGACAGCTATCCGGTTTCTTTTGTTGCTGTTTTCTGCCACAAGCTGCTCAACCATTTTGTTGTCAAGAGCCGTCCGGCTTCTCTTGCTGCTGCTTTCTATCACGATTTGACTAAATCCTGCAACATTTGCTGTTTGAAGCCGTCCGGTCTCAAATTGTTGTTCTCTGCCATAAGCTGTCCCGAAAACGCAAACCCATTTTGCAGTCGCTCTCCGGTTTCTGTTCATGGCGTTCTATGTCGCAAGCTGTCCCTAAACCCGAAGCCATTTTGCTGTCAGAAGCTGTCTGGTTTCTCTTGTTGCTGCATGTTGCTGCTTCCTGTGACCAGCTGTCCCACAAGAGGTCTTGGGGACGCTGCTTGTGCTTTAACTTTGGAAGAGCGCATTCCTACAATAGGAGGGAAGTTAGGAACTTAAGTCAAAACCTTTCAAAAGGGCCGACATGTATCAAAATCCGATGCTTCATTGCGCGTCGTTGTCCGGGTGTTGAGAAGAGCGGCGCGCAATCTTGCGGACCGTTGACACATGATACGAGAGCCCGAAAGCCAACCTCCAACTCCTTCGGAAGCTTAGGCGACTGCTTCCGGCACAGGTCATCGAAGTGAAACTGGGCCATGCCATCTCCTGAGACTCAACAGAACAGCACCACGACACCACTAGCCACTTTATTCAGGTCTTAAACCGCCTAAACCGCCGCATCCCTGGAGAGCTCCAACTAGGAACCAACAGCTGCTTGCCTCCGAGCCTCCGAGCCCTGGCACCGGTAGGGAGCGGCCCCAGGAGACCTCCGGAAAAGAGGCGTCTCATACACAAAAAACACACTGGTGTGTAAGTGAGTTGTTTCCGGTTTTGAGGCAAGTTGCAGGCTTCGGAGGTTGCAACCCCACCCTTTCCATGGTCGAGGGAAGCTGAGGGCTCAAGGTACGGCGCCCAAATTAAACATCCAATGCGGAAGCAGAATAAATCTTGCAAATACATACAACAGATTCTTTGGATATTACATAAGGATGCAAACCTTAAATGAAAATACATCGACATAAACAAAGGCTCGTCCAAACGTCATGTCATGCAGAGGGATGGTTAGAGGTCTACAATGTCTAATCTAGATCAGGGTGCAATGAACCGGGACCTCGTTGCGGAACATAGTTTTGATGCCTTGATCTTTCCGGGCTGGCATGCCTATTTTCTAGTCGCAAGTGAGCCTGGCCGGGGAGGGGGGAGTAGGGGGGTTGATAACAACGTGGTTTCGCGCGGCCCATCACAATTATATCCACTGGTAAGAACGTGGTTTCGCGCGATGCATCGAAACCACATCCACTGAGGTGGCGGCGGGGGTGGGAAGGGGGTTTAGGGGGGTTAGCGGTGGACGGGGGTTAGGGGGGGAAGGGGATTAGGGTGGAGGGGAGGGGAGGAGCCACGAAGCACTCCCTTGAACAAGAAGGCCAGACATACGACGCCTGATGAGTTTGATCCATGTCCCAGTCGCATTCAAAACACGCCCATGTGAACAACGACGAAAAAGTACAAGTGAGTAAAGCGATTTCATGGCAAAGGCAGGGTTCGAATTGCAGAAACAACTACACGCGCCCGGCCACCCGGACGGTCAGAAAGAGGCTCTGAACAAGGGTCAAGTGGGCTTGCCTTGATAGCCCCGGGTGCCAACTGCGGTTTCTCCGTCCCCAATGCCTGGCATGGTGAATTGGCTTCGGGGCTGGGACTTGGCGCGCTGAAAGTTTCCGACGGTTGGCCTGACATCCAAAAAACCGCGGTTCACAGGGATGGCACAAGATTGTTGCCGAGTTTGGGGTCGGTGGAACTTGTCCTTCTCGACCCCCTGAGCCAAGCCCGATCTACACTAACGCACATCACGAAACACCATCTATGCTGTATCTATACTGACTGCCAAACCAAAAGCTTCATCCAAAGCACGGATTACGGAACACCTGAAATAATTGTCCACCTTTGAAACCCTTAAAGAACTGATGGCGTAAGCTAGGTTCCACAATTTTCAGATTCGTCTTCCGGCCTGATCCAGCGCCTCCTCCGCCTCTCCCTCCTCGAAGAAAACCGCTGGTCCGCTGGCCTTCTTGGGGCAACACACTTTACAGGCTACGGAAGGTTGACAACATTTCACAGCTACATGTTTTCGATTTGTACACTACTGTATAGCAGTTTGCACGACGTCGTGCTTCAAATTGCTGCGTGCGGGCGGACGGGCGTGTCTCTGTGTGTCTCTGCGTGTCTCTGTGTGTCTCTGTGTGTCTCTGTGTGTCTCTGCGTGTCTCTGCATGTCTCTGCGTGTCTCTGCGTGTCTCTGCGCGTCTCTGTGTGTCTCTGTGTGTCTCTGTGCATCTCTGTATGTCTCTGTGCGCCTGGGTGCAGAGGGAGCTGAATCAACAATGCGGCAACACTTTGCCAATCCCCATTCATCAGATTGCTACTCCATTCTACGAGTGTGTTTTGTTTGTTGTGTTGTGTGTGCGCGCTGTGTGCTGCGCATGTCGGCGTCTATGTGTATGTGCGTCCGTGCAGTTGCGGAGTATCTAATGCAGCCTGCAGAGCTTTGCGCTGGTGCCCAATAGCACATGCCACCGTCAGTTCGACGACCGGCAACGACGAAAACCCATTCCAAACCCTAGGACAAGCATTACAAGTGCTCTCTTTGCCGAGGCAGGCCTCCGAGATGGCGAACTCGGCACGGTGCATCGCAGCGCGGTAATCCCGCCCGGTTACACCTGCCGTAGGTGCAGCCCCGAATAGGGGCACGGCTTTTGAAGGAGGCGCAGGCTTTCAGGAGGACATTAATTTAGGGACTCCAGGCTGGAACATGTCTCAGGCGAGATTCGAGGTTTGAGCTCAAAGCTTTCACTGGAGTTGAGAGGTGCTCAGACCGAGCCCATTTAGTAATATGAGTCCTGGTTTGAAGCGATTTTGCCTCGGCTGGATGTAGGGTATAAGGCTCGAAGCCGGCATTCTAAACGCCACAAAGACTTGTACCTTTTCGGGGTGCTGCCTTTGTTGTTTGTACTTATATTTCAGGCACGCTGCTTTAGAGACATACTTCGAACAAGGCCCAATTCTCCCCAAAAGCAAAACCAAGGCCCCTCCTTGTACCAACAAGTTGTCCCGAATGTGCGAGACCAGCGCAGGGAGGTAGCGCTCGCGGTGAAGACCATCCTCGGAGTTTCGGGGGGTTGAGGCTTCCCGGATTTCAGGGTGCTTGGCAGCTTTAGGAGTCTAATGGCTTTGCAGTGCAAGTGCGAGCGAACTGACAATTTTATGACAGGGCATAACGAATAAAACTAAGGCTGAAAGAAGGCAGGCTAGTTCCTAACCTACATTTAAGGGAGAGAAATGCTTGGAGGGTCTGATGGGACCAGAGTCCCCTTGCTCAACAAAGTCCTACAGCTTGCAGCGCAAGGCGCGTCCGACTCCAACAGCCGGAACACACTTTCCCTGCGTGCCCTTCTGAACCCAGCCAGGATGGTCCTAACATGTCCTAACCCCATCGTAAGTCGGACAGAGGGAGCCTTGTAGAGGTCCTCAGGTGGCCGGTTGGTCGTGCAGACCACAGCTACATGCCTTCACACAGCTCGTGGGGCTTGGGTTTGACACTACGCTCCCCTAGACTCGAAATTTGAGAGACAGGCTTCTATTCGACGATACTCAGCTCCTTTGTTCCCAATGTACAGGTTCCCTTGATTGAAGACTTTAACAACAGCAGAAAGGCCCGTGCCTGACAGCAAGCAGCTGCAGAAGCTCCGTCAAGACCTTTCCCACACTAGCGGAAGGCTAGTCAGATGAAGCTTTCGAGGGCTCCAATGACCCAAAATACCCAAGCCCTTGGACTTAGAGCCCCATCAATCTCGAACCCTGCGGCGCGTACCGAAAACCCATAGCCTGCATGGCAAAAGGTTCAAGGTCTGAGGCCGTTCGGGAGCTTTCAGAGGCCTCACAGGAAGTCCTGCCTTTCAGTACCTTGACTATAAGCCCCTCAGCCACGCGTGTGAAGAGAAGGCCTTCTCAGAGGCCTTTGCCAAGGCGCGCCCAAGGCCGGCCAAGCAACTCAACAAGATGTCCGCCCCGGACGAGGATCTCCACCCGCCCTATGTCACAGCCTCGAACCTGCCAACCCCCAAAGCAAACGCCCATGATTTTCTGAAGCCTCCGCGTCTTTCTCTCAGTTTGTTGTCAAAGGGTGTCAGGGTGGGTTCGGGGTTCTGCGTGGCTGTCAATTGGTTCAACATTCCTCACAGCCTCCAATGACCCGAAGACCTCCAAGGCCTTAAGCCGAAACTCCAAACCATGTTTCTAGTAAGTTATAGAGCTTGCAAGCCGACTTGAAGGTCGAGAATCTCAGGGCAGTCCACAAAGCTCTACACCATGCGAAGCCCACAAATGCCCAACCCAAGGCACCGCGGCATCCGCCACGTTGGTCACCGCCAGCTCATCCAGGCAGAGGAGGTCGATCCCCTCTGCAACCTGGGTTCAGGGCTTAGGCTTTTCAGGCTTGGGGGATTCTAGGCAGTAGAGGAAAGCATTGACCAGTGTTCTGTATTGTGCTGCACGCTGCTTAGGGATTTGAGTGGACCAAGGTTTGAACCAGGCACGAGGGCTCGGGGTCCAGATTTTTTGGTTGCGAGCCGGAGGGCAACAGAATCGTCTTCTGTTGGGTTCTAGGGTCCCAGAAAACCCACACCCAGTCCAAAACCCAAACTCGGACATAATCAGAAACTCGCTGAAGAACTCCCTCACGACACAACCGCTTGGTTTTGCAGAGGGCATCGGATGCTCAGCTTCGGGTTTAGTGTTGAGGGTTGGATGGTTGCATGGGTTAGGCAAAGGTGTCTTCGGGTTTAGGAGTTGAAGGGAGGTTTTCAAATCATGTCCATGAGTGCGCCATGGCAAAACATCGCTTGGCCTCCGCATCACAAATCTTACATGCTGACACAACCGTAGCCTGAAGGCTTCATGATCTAGGCTCAGATGTTACCATGGGGTATTGAGTGCGACTACACTGGGCCTGCCTGAAAAAAGCGTCGACTCTCCGACTCAAATCAAGCTCTCTGATTCCAGCCTCATCCGCCACCCTCTCCAGGATGTGTCTCCTGAGAAGAAACTCTGAACCCCGAGTCCGGCAGCTGAAAAGAGAGCTGTAAGGAAGCCCAGAACGCCATGTTGTGAACCCTGTAGTGTAGCCACATCTGTGCACCTCTACAGTACCTTGCGCAGCAACCTACGCAGTGGCAAGGAAGCCACACGCGCGCACACACAGACACAGACACACAGACACACAGACACACAGACACACAGACACACAGACACACAGACACACAGACACACAGACACACAGACACACAGACACACAGAGACACACAGACACACAGAGACACACAGACACACAGAGACACACACAGAGACACACACAGAGACACACACACACACACAGAGACACACACAGAGACACACACACACACAGACACACACACACACACGACACACACACACAGACACACACACACACACACAACACACACACACACACACAGACACACACACACACCACACACACACACACACACACACAGACACACACACACACACAGACACACAACACACACACACCCACACACACACACACACAACACACAACACAACACACACACACACACACACACACACACACATACCAGACACAGACACACACACACACACACACAGACACACAGACACACAGACACACAGACACACAGACACACAGACACACAGACACACAGACACACAGACACACAGACACACACAGACACGCACAGACACACACAGACACACAGAGACACACAGAGACACACAGAGACACACACAGACACACACAGACACACACAGACACACACATTGAATCTCGTTCCGGAGTACTTTTAAATGGTGTTTTGAACCTCGTTCCGGAGTACTTGTAGATGGTGTTTTGAATCTCATTCCGGAGTACTTGTAGATGGTGTTTTGAATCTCATTCCGGAGTACGTTTAGATGGTGTTTTGAATCTCGTTCCGGAGTACGTTTAGATGGTGTTTTGAATCTCGTTCCGTACTTTTAGATGGTGTTTGGCATCTCGTTCCGGAGTACTTTTAGATGGTGTTTTGAATCTCGTTCCAGAGTTCTTTTAGATGGTGTTTTGAATCTCGTTCCGGAGTACTTTTAAATGGTGTTTTGAACCTCGTTCCGGAGTACTTGTAGATGGTGTTTTGAATCTCATTCCGGAGTACTTTTAGATGGTGTTTTGAATCTCGTTCCGGAGTACTTTTAGATGGTGTTTTGAAACACACACAGACACACACAGACACACACAGACACACACAGACACACACAGACACACACAGACACACACAGACACACAGAGACACACAGAGACACACAGAGACACACAGAGACACACAGACACACAGACACACACAGAGACACACACAGAGACACACACAGAGACACACACAGAGACACACACAGAGACACACACAGAGACACACACACAGACACACACACAGACACTCACACACAGACACTCACACACAGACACTCACACAGACACTCACACACAGACACTCACACAGACACTCACACAGACACTCACACACAGACACACACAGACACACACACACACACACAGACACACACACACACCCACGCACCCACGCACGCACGCACGCACGCACGCACGCA